CCAAACAACAGAGAGTGATCATCTTCAGCTGCACCTTGGTGCAGGTCGTCATCTGTGCCGTGTGGCTGGCTGCCGCTCCACCGTTCCCCTTCAAAAACACTCAGTACAGCAGGTCCAAGATCATCCTGGAGTGCAGTGTAGGTTCTAGCTTGGCCTTCTGGTGCGTTCTGGGATACATCGGCCTCCTAGCCTGCCTGTGCTTTGTCCTGGCCTTTCTCGCTCGCAAACTGCCGGGCAATTTCAATGAGGCAAAGTACATCACCTTCAGCATGCTTATCTTCTGCGCCGTGTGGCTCGCCTTCATTCCTGCATACGTCAGCTCGCCTGGAAAGTTCACAGTGGCCGTGGAAATCTTTGCTATCCTAGCCTCTAGTTTTGGTCTCCTGTTTTGTTTGTTTGCTCCAAAATGTTACATAATTTTATTAAAACCAGAAAGAAACACTAAACAGTATCTCATGGGAAAAGGTAAGTCATGATGTCATAGTCTGGAGAAACAGGAAGAAGATGATAGTGAAACGAGTCAGGACCTTTGTCACCCTGTGCTTTCAGACAGATGATGTGACCCAAACAGAACCTTCTCAGATTCAGACTAAAGCTGCTGTTTTGCCCCCTTCCTAAACAAATGTCAACACACTATGCAACAAAATATTAAAGAATCTAATTTAATTATGGAAATAGGCCAGAACGTCTCCAAGATCTGTTCTTAGTTTTTTTTTTTTTGACATGGCATCCATTCAAATGCACTTTTCAGCTCATTGCGTATTCTTGGTCATTAAACCTTGTTGTACATCGACAGATTCTTAAGAATAAATTTTATGATAAAAATAAAAACAAATTCAACCCTGTGTGCAGTGTGTACATTTGTTTGCACTATTCTAACGTTTTTACTTTATATCATACTGTTTGCTTAAATAACTTGAAATCAGGCATGAGGACTCAAGTCACAAACCTGATGACTCAACTTGGCAAAACTGATGGAAAGAATAGGACTTCACTTGGACTTGAGAGTAATGACTCGAGACTTGGACTCGACTATGACTCAAGAAGGCTTGAGATTATAGTCTCCCTCCTGTGTACCATAATGTTATTTTTATAATTTCAGGGTATATTAATTCTCTGCTGTTTGCATTTTCATTTGGTGTTCTTTTTCACAGTTGCAGCCTTTATTACTGATTTATTATTATACAGAGTAAAGATTATCTATAATAAGCAAGACAGCGCAGTTATGAGAAAGCATAATAAAATACTCTGTTTAAACCAGCTGTGGGGTGTTCTGTTGTGGCTTTTCAGCTAGGTGGGTAATACTGTACAGCTTTTTCATTTCATGCTGAAAGATCAAAGTATGAAGTACGTGGAATTTGTTGACAAACCAGAGTAAACATCGATTATTAAATTTCCCAAATCTGAAAGTGGAGTCAGCTGTTCGAAATGATACAGTAATCTTTCAGCATAATTTAAATTCCCCCGAATACCACTGATGTTTAACAACTATGCTTTAAAAGGAAAAATGTTTTTTTTTTTTGTCCGTGGTGTGTGATTTTTCAACATTGCATAAAAATAAAAAAAAAAACAACAATTAATGACATGCACTGCAGGTCAGAAACACGGCTAACATGTCTGTAAATTTCCTTTGCATGAACTGTGTATGTCAGGTGCCTGAAGCGAGGCGGACAGGCCGCCAATCGAATCATTCCACATGACTGGACTGCGTGTAGCTGCTGTCCCAGAGTGGTTGCTTTTAGAAAGGCGTCCCCCCCCTGCGCACACCTCCCTGGGGGTGGGGGTGGGGGTGGAGCCAGACATATACACAGTGATGCTCAGAAAAACGTCTCCATTGACCTGACAGCACTCGTAACCAGCTATGCATGTGTGTGTGTGTGTGGGGGGGGTAGTTGAGGGTGTTTATCGCTAAGCTCCTTACAAGACCCACATAAACCTCATTTTAAAATATCACCACGGCCACAGGCCGGACTTCCTGTTCCAAAGGGCCCAGAGGAGGTTATGTGCTAACAGGTAGGGAACGGAGATCCTAGGACGCGAAGGCATGCTGTGTCGTCCCCGATATGTCCTCAGACACGCTGCGGCCCCCCTGAACAAGGCCACAGGCACATATACCATTAGGAGTCTGTGTCCCCTTACCTACAATAATCATTTTTATCCGTCCATCCATTCATGCATCGATCTATCTTCCAAACACTTATCCATGACAGCATCAAGGGAACTCATCAAGCAAAGATTAACGTATGACTAACTGTATGGTGGGTATGAACAAGAAACATTATTTGGTGTGCATGTCTCTGGCTGTGTGTGTGTCTGTGTGTGTGTGTGTGTGTGTGCGTGTCTGTGTGTATACAGAAACGCTGTCTAGATCCAGTGCATAACTTAATGAGCAAATCTTAAATCTGTTTTGAGATCTGTTTAAATTTTATTTTGACACTCATTAAGTTATTTTATGACTGTGGTACCTGGCATGTGTTTTATTAAAATCGTGTTCCCACACAGATTTGTTGAAGATCGGAGATGTCCTTTAATTTGAATAGTTTTTTCAGGAACCACCACTGAGCTGTGAAAAATCCTTTTACAAAAGCAGATCTGTGTTGGGCAGAACTGTGAGGGTATGATTGAATTGTGCTTTGGTGTATGTGGCTGAATGTGTGTGTGTGTGTACAGGTGTGTGGGGCCGTGTGTGTACAGGTGTATCTGTGAGAATCTGTGTTTGTGCTTCCAAACTATTCCTGGAATTGTAAGTCAGTTGCTGAAAAATCCCCAGTAAATGACAAGCTGATTCCCCTAATGACTCGGACACCACGTCACCCACAGGCAGCCCCGGAGCCACGCCCCAGCACATCCCTCGCCGAAGGGAAACACCCTCCAGTTGGCCTCCCCTTCCCAGCTCCCAGCGGGAGGGCGCATGGTGCGGAGGGGGATATTTAACCCTGGGTTCCGAACAGGCTCTGGCTTTACTGAGGCAGAAGTTCGGCATGGGCGGGCACTTGATGTGGACTGCCGTTCTGCTGGTCCTGCTGACAGTCGGGCTCCCCGGCACCCCCAGAGGAGCCACGCCAGACCTCCGCTGCATGCTGCTGGATCACTCCGGACCTGCTGCACTCTCCAGGCCTGGAGACTTTGTGATCGGGGGCGTTTTCTCCCTGCACTACTACATGCTCTCTGTGGAGAACAACTATACCCACCTGCCAGAACCTCTCCGGTGCCGGGGAAGGTGAGTGAGGAACTGGGTCCTGTTAGTTCAGCTATAGGTCAGTAAGGAACCAGGTTCTGGTTCAGCTGTAGGTCACTGAGGAACCAGGTTCTGTTGGTTTAGCTGTAGGTCAGTGAAGAACCAGGTTCTGTTGGTCCAGCTGTAGGTCAGTGAGGAACCGGGTTCTGCTGGTCCGGCTGTAGGTAAGTAAGGAACTGGGTTCTGCTGGTTCGGCTGTAGGTCAGTGAGGAACAGGTTCTGCTAGTTCAGCTGAAGGTTAACTGCTAGGGACTGGTGTAATGAGTTGGTCACTGTCATCAGGATGCTGGGTCACTGTCTTTAATTTGAAAGGCAAAGAGATGACAGTCTTCCTTAAGGGTCTCTAGACGTGTTGGTGATCTGTCCTCCAGCCTGGACTTCAGAGAGCTGCGCTTCGCCCGCGCCATGGCGTTCGCTATCGAAGAGATCAACAACTGCTCAGACCTGCTGCCGGGGATCATGTTGGGCTACCAGATCCACGACTCCTGCTCCTCCGTCTCAGTGGCCACCAGGGCCGCCTTCCAGCTGGCTAATGGGCGCGACCCATACTTCTCTCCAGGCGCCCCATGCTCCTCGTCAGCCACCATCACCGCGGTCGTGGGAGAGTCGGGCTCCACGCCGTCCATCGCTATGTCACGAGTGCTCGGCCCCTTCGGGATCCCTCAGGTCGGGCGGCTCAAGCGACACGGAGCTCAGCCCTTCACATATCATTCATACAGAGAATACTGGCTGTCATGAGTTTGTTTTTGCGGTAATGTCAGAGATGGGTGGTAGATATTGGGCAGGGAAATACAATCCTTCATGGCCAGATTCACTCATTATAGGTAAAAAACCTTGTGTTTGAGCACAGACACATGGCGATCTCATGCCGCTGATTAGTCACTGGTGTCACTCCACTGGTCCATGGATGAATTCATCTGTCTCTCCCCCTCCATCTTTCCTGTCCTGCTCTACAGGTGAGCCACTATGCCACCTGTGCTTGCCTTAGCGACAAGCAGCAGTACCCCACCTTCTCCCGCACCATCCCCAGCGACTATTTCCAGGCTGCAGCTCTGGCCCAGCTGGTAAAGCACTACGGCTGGATGTGGATCGGTGCAGTGCGCAGTGACTCTGACTACGGCAACAGCGGAATGGCGGCCTTCCTGAAGGCGGCCCGGGCGGAGGGCATCTGCGTGGAGTACTCTGAGGCCTTCTACAGAACCAACCCCAGGGCCCGTGTGCGCCGTGTGGCCGAGGTCATCCGTGGTTCCACCGCCCGGGTGGTGGTGGCGTTCGTCGCCCCCGGCGACATGCTGGTGCTCCTGGCTGAGCTGGAGCAGTTGGCCCCGCCCCCTCTGCAGTGGGTCGGCAGCGAATCGTGGGTCACTGACCCAGGGCTGGTCCGCTTCAGCATGTGCGTTGGTGCCGTGGGCTTTGGTATCCGGCGCGCCGTTATCCCAGGACTACGAGACTTTCTTATGGACCTGAACGCCGCCCAGGCGTCCGAATCGCCCCTTCTGACGGAGTTCTGGGAGACGGCTTTCGGCTGCCACCTGCCGGGGGTGTCAGGGAGCCCCGAGCAGAGGCCGTGTAATGGGAGTGAGAGCCTCCAGGGGCTGAAGAACTCCTACACGGACACGTCCCAGCTCCGCATCACCAACATGGTATATAAGGCCGTGTATGCGGTGGCCCACGCCCTCCACGGCCTCATCTGCACCGACCGAGCGGGGTCTCCCGCTCACTGTGACAGGGACATGCCGCTCCAGATGATCCAGGTGAAACACCCTAGTTCCAGATCATTGCTGAATATCAGCAGGAGTTTTCCATTTGAACCTGAACCCAGTTTTTAAAGATGTATCGCTAGAACGCAGCTAGAGAACCAAGATTTGTTTTAAAAGCCCGCTTCACTGATCTGAGAATTCCTGCAGGAAGTAATGCAAGGTCCCCCAACATTTCAATGGTGGACATGTGACATCGAAGGTTCCCACTCACTATACTAACACTGAGGTATCTGGCAGGCTGACAAAAACAATGAGTTCATAAGCCCGTTTCTGGGTCAATTCAGTCCTTCTTACTCGTTTTATAAGCTAAGCCTAATAAGCCTAGTTTTGATGGCCTGGCTTTCAATTTTTCCTCAAAAACAGAAAGGGCAAGAATTATAAAAGAAGTATCATTACATGCAATTATCTATATCCTTCAAATGAATTGAGTTTTAGAGTTCACACATCATCTCTGTTTTGAGTTCTTATTTCAGAATCACCTGTAAATAGAATGAGCAAGTGTTTGTTTGGGATTATGGTTATTTTTATTATGGAAAGTTGGTTGAAGATCCTGGCCCCAGGTCAGTGAGACCTGACGTCATTATCGCCCCCTTCAGGTTTTGCAGCAGATCCGGAAGGTGAATTTCACCCTGAACGGGAACCGCGTTTCCTTTGATGCCAACGGGGACCCGGTAGCCACATACGAGCTGGTTAACTGGCAGGTGGGGGAGAGCGGGCGAGTCGAGTTTGTCACCGTGGGCTACTACGACGCGTCTGCACCCGAGGGCCAGGTCTTTGTGATGCACAGGAACATCACCTGGGCAGGCGGACAAACGCAGGTGCGTATCTCAACCTCCATCGCGCGTCAGGGGGATTTAATGTGGGTTGAAACTGGAAGACCTGAGAGGCCGTCTGTGAGGCCGTTGAGCTTCTTCAGGACCTGCACCATGAGCTGCTGTTCCGTCTGGGCTTTTTGTGTCCCTGCCAGGTGCCAGTGTCAGTGTGCAGTGAGAGCTGTCCCCCAGGAACCCGCAAGGCCGTGCAGAAAGGAAAGCCTGTCTGCTGCTACGACTGTGTACCCTGTGCTGAGGGGGAGATCAGCAACGCTACAGGTGCTCATCACTGCCACACAGGGGCCGATTTCCATTACTACACCTCAATGCTCACATCATCTGCCTTTTTCCTTTACCTTGCTATCCATGAAATCCCATATTATTCATGACAAATAGTTGTTATACTGCCCTCCCCCCAGACTCCTTGGACTGTCTCATCTGCCCAGCTGAATCCTGGCCAAACCCCAAGCGAGACAGATGTATGCACAAGCTCATCGAGTTCCTGTCGTTCGACGAGATCCTGGGAGCGATCCTGGCCACGAGCTCTGTGGCTGGGGCTGGCCTTTCTGTCGCCATAGCAGCCGTCTTCTACAGACACAAGGACACGCCCATCGTCAGGGCCAACAACTCTGAGCTGAGCTTCCTGCTGCTCTTTTCCCTGACCCTGTGTTTCCTCTGCTCACTCACGTTCATCGGACCACCCTCCAACTGGTCCTGTATGCTGCGCCACACGGCGTTTGGCATCACCTTTGTCCTCTGCATCTCTTGTGTTCTGGGGAAAACAATAGTGGTGTTAATGGCCTTCAGGGCTACACTCCCAGGCAGTAATGTCATGAAATGGTTTGGACCTGTACAACAAAGGCTCAGTGTGGTCTTCTTTACATTTATACAAGTATTAATATGTGTTTTATGGCTGAGCCTGTCACCCCCATTTCCCATTAAAAACTTGTCACATTATAAAGAGAAAATTATACTTGAATGTAGTCTAGGATCTAATGGTGCCTTCTGGGCTGTGCTGGGGTACATTGGTCTCCTCTCTGCCCTGTGCTTTGTACTGGCTTTTCTGGCCAGGAAGCTGCCTGACAACTTCAATGAAGCCAAATTCATCACCTTCAGCATGATCATATTCTGTGCCGTCTGGATCACCTTTATCCCAGCCTATGTCAGCTCACCTGGGAAGTTCACTGTGGCCGTCGAGATATTTGCCATTTTAGCTTCCAGTTTAGGTCTGATCGTGTGTATATTTGCTCCCAAATTTTTTATAATATTGTTTAGGCCAGAGAAGAACACAAAGAAACACATGATGGGGAAAGTTCCTTCCAAGGCCCTCTGAAGCATTGCTTCGCATAAAAATGCCATGTATACATGTGTATGATTCCTGCAGTTTTCTATATAATAAGCTAATAGTAATTGAGAATCACCAACAAGCCTCATTTCCAAATAAACCACCTGAATGTTTATGAACATGTATGAGCGCCTGAGTCTCAGGGTACAGGTGCTTGTGTACTGCTCAATGCAAATACCATACTAATCACACAATATTGTGGTTTTAATCATTCTTTATTATACAATTACAAGCAATACATGTTTATTACCATTATTTACTCTTGTTTAATATGCTTAATTTTAAACATCCTTCTAATAAAGAAATTAAAGACTATCTCTCCCTTTACATTGTGTTCCTTCCATCTGTTTAACAAACTTGCCACAGTAAAAGCCCAATTTCAGTGATACAATCACACACTTCATAAACCAGACAGACAGCTATTCTGTGTTAAGGAAAACTAACAAATGCTCTAAACTAAACAAATTGTTTTTGGCAAAACTTTTAGGGGGCATAAATAATGTAGTAGTACACTCTTACTTAATGGATTAATTAATCAGTAGCTAAGTGTTAGCTATGTACTGATCCCATGTTCGTTCATCATTAATCAACCATGACAGTTCATGTATTTCATTCTGTTACTATATTTGATCATGATTTATACTTGAGTAGAAACTGAGTTATTAACTTACATGTGCCCCTTCAAGTAAAGTGTTACCTTGTTTTCTTTGGTGTAAAATTCTGGCAACACACTAGTCTTATAAGAAACTTATGCATGGTATCAGTTTGTCAGAATATGCATTGTCATAGTTTCTTCTGCAACCTACAGTATTAATACCACGACATTTAGCCATATTCAGTTTTGAGATATTTGACTTCCATATGATGTCATCTCCTGCCTGGAGGCCCTACTTGCTCACCATGCCTTTCTTGATGTTCTTCTCAGGTTTGAGCAAGATGATAAAACATTTAGGCAGGAAAATGCAGAGCAAGAGGCTGAAGCTGGATGCCAGGATGGCGAAGATCTCCACGGCAACGGTGTATTTGCCCGGAGAGCTGAGGTGGGCAGGGATGAAGGAGATCCATACGGCGAAGAAGATGAGCATGCTGAAGGTGATGAGTTTGGCCTCGTTGAAGGTATCTGGCAACTTCCTGCCCAGGAAGGCAAGGTCAAAACAGATGCAGGACAGCAGCCCGATATAGCCTAGCACCAGGTAAAGGATTGCACCATCCTGGCACTCCAGAATGATCCGTCCGGCTTGGTAGGACGTGTTCTTAATGGGTGAAGGTGGATCCCAGGTCAGCCAGGACACACACAGAACCACCTGGACGGCTGTACAGGAGAAGATGAGCGCCCTCTGCTGGGTGGGCCCAAAAAGCCGCACAGCATTGGATCCGGGTATGGTGGACCAGAACGCCACCAGCACCACCATGGTCTTGGCCAAGATGCAGGAGATGCAGAGAACGAAGGCGACGCCGAAAGTGGCCTGCCGCGCCCAGCAGGACCAGGGCGAAGGCCGGCCGATGAAGAGAAGGGCACACAGGAAGCAGAGCGCCAGCGATGCCAGCAGCAGGAAGCTCAGCTCCGAGTTGTTGGCGCGTACGATTGGCGTGTCCCGGAATCGGTAGAAGATGCCCGTGACTACCAGCGTCACGGTCACCCCGAGGACCGACAGCAAGGCTAGAACAACGCCCAAGATGTCCTGGAAGGACAGGAACTCCTCCAGCATGGGCAAACAGGCCACCCTGTCTGGGTCCGACCAGTGGTACTGAGGGCACTTCATGCACTCTGAGGAGCCTGTGGAGGAGAACAGGCATGTTTAAAGGAACTTGAGAGACGTTATGCACTTAACTGACACCTGACCAAAGGAAGCTGTGTGTATCCTCTCTAACTGGTGAATCCTATTGGGGCACGCAGCCCACTCATCGCCAAACCCTATGCTGTGTATGGGACACATTACCTGTTTGGTTGCTGACCTCTCCATCGGCACAGGGGAGGCAGTCAAAGCAACAGATGGGCTCCCGGGGTCGTGAGGCCTGCCTGGTCCCAGGGGGACAGCTGTGGCTGCACTCGGAGATGGGAACCTGCAGGGGGCAGGCAGGAGTCACACCCGTACTGCTAAATGGCTTCAACGGGGGTTGCAAAGGGCAGCCACCTTGCGGAATAAAGATATTCTATCAGCTTGTTTCTGCTGACTCACTCAGAGTCATCCTCCACCAGGACTCCCCAGAACACCTGTGTGCTTCACCATGACCCACCTGCGTCTCTCCCCCCGTCCACACGATGGTGGACTGGTCCATCCTGAGCTGTTCCCCCACTGGAGCAGAGGCATCAAAGGTCCCCACAGTCTTGAACGTGATGATCCCCCTGCTGTCCCTCTGCCAGTTGACGATGTCGTACAGGGGAACGGGCTCCCCGTCGCTGTCAAAATAAACCTTCTCCCCAAACCTGGTGGTGAAATTCACTCTCTTCAGGTAGGAGAGCAACTGGAAAGAGCACCAGAGATGAACATGTCCTCACGTCAGGGGTGCAACCAGGACAGGTCTAACTGTGGAGTGTGTGTATGTGTGTGTGTGTGGTTACATAGGAAGCAGCATTTTAAAACAGGGCATTTAAAGAAAATAAAACACTTCAACTAAGGCATTTTAGTTGTGTTTGTATTTTGGTCATGGTTACTGTAATTTAAAAATCCATGTGTGAGTAGCCAGTTAAAATATGTGCTTTAACATTTAACCTTATGCTTTTATCCATAACAACTTACAGGGAAGTACAGGGAAGACTTACAGTTTGTCATGCGAACTCCCAGGAATCTGAAGCCACAAGCCTTTAATAAATAACACGATGCTCTACTTGCTGAGCTACAGCAGTGATGACACAGCAACCGCAAACACACTGAACAGCATTCAGTTATGCTCAGACGATCTCTCTCTCTCTCACACACAAGCACACACTCACACACGTTTGTATTCACGTCTTTGTAGGGACTCTCCATTCATTTCTATGGGCAAAAACCCTAATCCCAACAACCTTAACCCCATCCCAGCCCTAACCTTAACCATAAGTAACCACACAAAACACAAGACTTTTGGCATTTTTAGTTTTTTGATTGCAGATTGAGAAATTGAGTTTCCCCTTGTGAGGACTGAAAAAAAGTCGTCCCCACAACATCAAAGCAACAAGTTTTTATCACATTGTGGGAACATTTGGTCCCCACAATGTAATATATACATCACACAAACACATACACACACACACACATTCCTTCAAACATCTGTCTGATGTGACTGTGATGTAAAGGGATGCATATATTCTGGAGTTTCAGCACAGTCTGGGGAGGGGGGGGGGCGGTCAGCAGCGCACTCTCGTTGTCCCTTCACAGACACAAGTAACCCCCCCCCAAAAAAAAATAAAAAATAAAAAATGTCCTCACAAGACCAGAATAACAGGTTTTTATCACATTGTAATATACAATGTAATATATACATAACCCTCAGTAACAAACACACATCCACCTGTCGTGGCTGGAGTGGCAGCAGGGCCCCGCAGCTCCTGCTCCCTGCTCCGTCCCCAGGGCCGTCGCAGCACAGCAGGCGGTGCAGAGCGTGAGCGATGGCGTACACGGCCTTGTACACATTGTAGGAGACCCTCAGCTGCGACACGTCTGAGTACACGCTGTTCCTGCCTCTCACATCCTCGGCGCCACTGCAAGACGGCTGGTTGGACCCCGGGGCCTCATCAGCGCCCCCAGTGAAGTCCAGCCTACAGCCGAAGAGCTCTTCCCAGAAGGCGTTGACGAAGACGGAGTTGGGTGCAGGCGAGGGCCGCACGCGAAGGAGGAAGTCACCCAGGGCTGGCATGGAGGCTTTCCGGAAAGCGAAGCCCAGCGTCCCGGCCAGCGTGTCCCGGAACTGTGGCCCGGAGAGCAGGCTGGCCGTCACCCAGGCCTCACTGGCGATCCACTGGCGGCCCGTCAGGTTTCGGCGTGCCACCTCACTCAGCAGCCCATAGAGCTGGCCCTCGGTGGAGAAGGCCAGGATGACGCGGGCGCTGGAGGCCTCCAGGGCATCGGCCACATGGGCCAGTCGCTCAGGGTTCTCCGCCTTGGGCAGCGTGGCATAGAATGCCAGGCAGCCGCCCCGCTCCGCTAGCTGCTCCCGGAACGCCTGGATCCCGTAGCGGCTGTAGTCGTCCTCCGTGCCGATGGCACCCACCCATCGCCATCCGAAGTGTGCCACCAGCTGGACGAGCCCCCGCACCTGGAAGAGGTCGCTGGGCACCGTGCGCAGGAAGGAGGGGAACTGCCGTTTGTCCTTTAGGCACTCACACGTGGCAAAGTAACTGACCTAAGGCACAAACTGGCAAGAGTTAGACGAGGCTGCCGGAACCTTCCGGAACAGTATGCAGAAATAGACTCTTTTAACACAGACATCACATCACTTTAAGGTATATACTGTACTGTATGTATATATATATTAATTAGCCAAACATGACGTACCAGTGGTCAAGTCAAAAAGTTACTGGAAACATGGTGGAACCTTTGGGAGAGTTTTTGAAATGGTTAAGCTGGCTCACTTTAGCAGACAAGATTTAGACCAACATGTAGATCATTTTAACATCATTTCCTATGACTTTTGTAGATTACTGGTTACACCCCTGAGACATGCCTCACCCTACGGAACGACACACCCCTGTGCAGATGGACACTTCACTCCTTCAAAGTCCATAAATCCATTAAACCCAGGTCCCACAGAGCTAATGGACGGCACCCCGATGTCGAGTTAAGCGTGTTGAATGGTGATGCGCGCACCCCCTTCATTAGTGCTGTTTTTCGTGTCTTGGGGCTCACAGCGAGGTACCGCTGCTCCCCTCTTTGCCGTGACTAACAGGGTGGAGGCTGCTCTCCAATCTTCGATATTCATGGGCAGCACAGGAAATGACACACGACACCCTATCACTTTTTACCGTGCACGCTGCGCCGTGACGCCAGATTGCGTCTCTTTGCACACTTCTGTCAGCTATGGAAGCCAGTCTTCCTTCTCCCACGTGAGACACCGACTCACTCCACAGGAGTAATTTCACAGCCAAATAAAAGCCATTAACCTCACACACTGCCGTTCATGTTTTTAGGTGACATTTTACCCCCCTAGTCCCTCACGTGCACCAGGATACACATCAAGCTCCATTTACACACGCACTAACCAGTGGGATGTCAAAGGGGCCGAGGGTATGTGCGACGGCCCGGGTCGGTGATGACGACGCTAGGCCGATTATAGCCGGCACAGGGGCTCCGGTCAGGCAGGGGCGGTCAGCGTCCGCCCACCCTGACGAGCCATTGACCAGCGACAGTGCCCCCCGCAGGCCTGTATGGACATGATCGCAGCTGTCGAGGATCCGGTAACCCAGCTGGATGCCGGGAAGCAGGTCGGGGTCTCTGTTGATCTCCTCGATGGCAAACACCATGGTCTGGAGCCACCGAAATGCCCGGAAGTCAAAGCTGGGTGAGGGAGCAAAACAGGACCTTACCCCAGAGCTTGGGTATCTCTCCGAACGTCACTGCAGGTACCTCGGGGCATCCCTCAGCTTGGTGTGGGGGCTACTCACCCCGAGCACTGGCCCGGTCGGGGTCTCTTAGTGAAGGGCAGCTCTGGCTCGGACACGACGATGTGCAGGGGGAACAGCCCCCCAATCAAGATGTCTCCAGCTGCCTCCTGAGCCGGCAGCACGAAGTCGCCTAGGGTGAGGCACCAGCCGGGCGTCCCGGTGTCTGTGGTGGCAGCAGCCAGCAGGAGGGCCACCGCAGCGGCACCGCGGGCGAGCATGTTGGAGCGAGAAGCTGCGAGACGGGAGACTCCCATCCGCCGCCTGCAATGGGTCTGCAGCTCCGGCAGCCGTCCTATATGTCCCATTATGTCCGGCTGAGTGCACCTGCCTGTAATGGCGAAGGGGGCCCCCAGGGGGCAACGACGGGGCCAGAGGTCCTGCAGGCGTACACAACACCCGTGTGACGTCACACCTCCTCACCGACACACCACATGCCATGTTCTCACCCCAAGGAGGGGGTCCCTGTTTTTTATCTTCCCAACACAGACTGGGATTGTCTGTAAGTGCTAATCAGTTTCACATATAATTTATATCACCGCTGAAAATGAATTAATTTACTTAATTACATCTGAGGCCTCCGACATCAAAAGCCGTGTAATATTGGGTGTAATCATGTGCCTGAGCTTTTAATGATGCGTAACGGCTTCATATCGAAAAGATGGAGAACATTAGCGACGCTATGGTGACCCACGAGGCCCACTTGTCACTCATGATGTGGGACAGACAGGTCTCATTTACAAAGACACAGTCGTGCTGTTTTTTATATACGATGGAGAGCTGGAAGGCCATTTAAACAGGACGGGTTTACTGCCTGGTGTTAGGTGGGGGGGGGGGGGGGGGTGTGTATTTCTGATATGATGATCACAGAAAGATTGGGGCTGGTATTGCGATAAAACAGTTAAGGCAATGGGGGGGGTCCCTGAACTCAGGCAGTATGATTAGTGCTGGGGTGTAAAGTGACTCACTGGTGCCCCTAAAAGGCTCTTCGATTATTTTATTCTCTCTACTGAGCTACAGAGAGCAGTGGGATTGTTGTCTGTGGCCCAATAGCACCACCTACCGTCAAGCTGCCTCCCAGCACTGGCAAACGTCCCTGAAGCCTGGTGATGGATCCAGCCACAGTTACTCCAAGTGCCCAGCAGAGGGCGACATCCTCCCTGCCTGCGGGCTCCGAATGTAACTTTGCGGGGGCACAGCTGAGCCACAAGACAGAATGCAGAGAATCACAGACAGACTGACATGAACACAACTGGCAACAAAACGTCTGTCTCATCCGTTTATCTCAAACTAATCAAATCTCATTAATTGCTCATTAGTGAAAGTGATAATGTCAGCGTGTTCCTTTAGCGATAACAATACGCAGTAAATATGCCATGCCGGAAAGCTGTTAAAGCTGCGATGGAATATTAAGAAGTCGCTACTCTGCCCGGTGATGCACAGCCAGACAGCAGGGGGCGATGTCACGGCCGAGGCAAGGCCGCCGTCCCCTGGGAAGGTCATGCCGGCTGCCTATAAAGACGGGAGAGGCCATGCAGGACCAGAGCTGGCAGCGGCCATGCAGAGCTCCGTGCTGCTGTGTCTCTGTCTCCAGCTGAGCCTGTCGGCAGCCTCTGCGGCCCCCCCTGCCACCTGTCGGCCGTGGGGGCGGTTCCGGCTGAATGGGCTGCGGCGGCCGGGCGACGTGGTTTTCGGGGGCCTTTTTGAGGTGCACTTCCTCACCGTGTTCCCGGAGCTGTCCTTCACCTCGGAGCCAGAGCAACCCAGATGCGAGCGGTGAGTGGATGAGCTACGGACGGATGGACAGGTGGACGGATGGACAGACACTGGCAGATTTCTCGTTCGCTAAGACAGCTCTGTTCTGGACACTGGAAGCACTCGCCACCGGCCAGTGAAATGGTCCCTCTTTTGACAGACTGTTTCCTCTGTTTTTGACAGACATTGGTCTTCCTCTAGGTGACTGGCATCGTTCGGATGAATGTAGAATCAGTGTATGCGATCCGGTGCCCCAGGATATGCAGACTCTCTCCCAGTGAACCCTGTGGTTCTTTGCTTTCATGGGTACAAATGTCCTGCTGACTAAACTGGCACCGTCAGCAGACACAGGTGCCATTATTTGTGGTGGGCTGACTGCCCACAGCACAGAGCCTGATTATAATGGTGCAATTTTCCCATCCCTCCTCTGCCAGGCTGGACCCTGCCGGTTTCCAGGTTGCTCAGACCATGGCTTTCGCAATCGAGGAGATCAACCGGGACCCGAATTTCCTGCCCAACATCACCCTAGGTTACGATCTCTATGACAACTGCGTGAAGCTGGGCGTGGCTTTCCGGGCCGCGATGGCGCTGGTCAGCGGCGCCGGGGAGACGTTCCCGGAAACGGGCTGCGCGGGCTCGCCGCCAGTGCTGGGCATCGTGGGGGACCCTGGCTCCACCCACTCCATCGCCATCTCCAGGGTGCTGGGTCTGTTCCGTGTGCCTCTGGTATGAACTCGGCGGAGGGACGCCGGTATAATATCAGTTAACTCCCCTGTCAAATGCTGCCGAGTCTTTGATGAGATGGCGGTAATTAGCAGCGCTCAGTCTGAACAAAAGCCAGAAAGATTCGGCCGGGGACGTCTTTGATTTGCCCATAAAAATAATTCCATGTCTCCAGGGTTGTGGCCCTGGCTCTGCGCCTCTGCCATGTTTCTGCTTTTTTTACGCTTCGCCATCCAGAATAAGCACCATTGTGATCCTAGTTGAACCCTAATGCTGTTCACAACATGCTTGACTTGGTTCTCTTCTTCTTCCTCTGTATGATATGTTTTTGTCAGGCTCTGATTTATTCCTACCCCTCCAGGTGAGTTATTTCGCAACCTGCTCGTGTCTAAGCAACAGGAGGGAGTACCCATCCTTCTTCAGGACCATCCCCAGCGACGCCTTCCAGGTCAGAGCCATGGTGCAGATCCTGCAGAGGTATAACTGGACCTGGGTAGGCCTGGTGGTCAGCGATGACGACTATGGGCTGTATGCAGCCCGGGCTTTCCGTGAGGAAGTGGCCCGCTTTGGCTGTGTGGCGTTCCATGAGACTCTGCCACGGGACAACAGCCGGGTCGAGGTGAAGCGGATTGTGGCGGTTGTGTTGCAGTCCACGGCACGTGTGATCGTGGTCTTCTCCACGGAGGCCTACTTGCTGCCACTAGCCGAGGAGCTGGTCGTGCAGCGGGTGACGGGGCGCCAGTGGATCGCCAGCGAGGCCTGGGCCACCTCGCCCGTCTTCCACACCCCACAACTGCTGCCCTTCCTGGGCGGGACACTGGGCATCGCCATCCGCCGTGGTGAGATCCCGGGGCTCCGCGACTTCCTGCTCCGCCTCCATCCTGATGGCACCCCAGACAACAACATGGTGGACATGTTCTGGGAGGAGGTGTTCAGTTGCAGGTTCGAGCGAAGCAGAGTGGCCGGCGGGCGCGTCTGCACGGGACAGGAGGACCTGGCGAGCATAGAAACGGCGTACAGTGACGTGTCAGACCTCAGGGCGCCGTACAATGTGTACAAAGCCGTGTATGCACTAGCGCACGCGCTACACGACCTGCTGCGCTGCGAGCCGGGGAGGGGGCCCTTTGCAGGACATGCCTGCGCTCAGCTGAACACTTTACAGCCCTGGCAGGTAGGCAGGCTGCAGAAGGCTATAGATTCACACTCCTGCACTCTGTGAAGGAATATATAGATTCACACACGTGCACTCTGTGAAGGAGATTACAGATTCACACATGCACTCTGTGAAGGATATTACAGATTCACACGTGCATTCTGTGAAGGATATTACAGATTCACACACGTGCCCTCTGTGAAGGATATTACACACTCACACACGTGCAATCTGTGAAAGAGATTACAGATTCACACGATTGCACTCTGAGATGCTCACACTCCCCTTTGAAGTTCTCATCCTATATTGGATGAATGATACGTTTTGAAAGTTTTCTTGCCTGTCTGAGATGCTAATGGGATTCTCTAATCATTGGCCACTTCTGCAGCTGGCGTACTATTTGGAGAGGGTGAACTTCACCACACGCTTTGGGGACAGAGTCTCATTTGACGAGAATGGAGACGCCCTGGCCATCTACGACGTGATGAACTGGCAAAAGGGTCCTGATGGGGCCATTAAGCTTGTCACCGTCGGTGTCTTTGACGAGTCCTCCCCTGAGGGCCAGACGCTCAGGCTGGCCGAGGACAAAATCTTTTGGAATTTTGAAATGAACACGGTGAGTTCACCCCCCTGACGCAGACAACAGCAGAGTTACCTTCTGATTTGGGATTCACTCTCTGTGTATAATTACTGTGTTTGCCAGATTTGTTTCTTCTGTTTATGAGAATGAAGTGTTTAATTTATTGTGAATTTATTATGAGCTGTTGTGAGCCCTAGTGACGAGCTGAGCCGTAAATGAAGGCCTAATGTGTTCACGGCCTGTCCCATTGTGCCTGTACTGGGGCAGTTACCAAGGTAACAAGGAGGAAATTCACATTACAAGCCAATTCTGGAAGGCATGGTGGTTCCCAGTTCAGATAATAATCTCAGTTCAGCAAATGAAAGATACAGGACAACAAAAGACAGATGGTTTCATGGACCCAGTGGACGCAGTCCCCCCCCCCCCCTTCACCACCATCACCTGCACAATTGCCATCAAAAGCCAGACTTTCTCTCATGCTGTCAGTCTCTGTCGTTCTCCCCATTCCTCCAGGCACCAAGATCGGTCTGCAGTGAATCTTGCCCCCCAGGGACAAGGTTAGCCATCAGGAAGGGTGAACCAGTCTGCTGCTTCGACTGCCTGCCCTGCGCAGACGGCGAGATCAGCAACACCACAGGTCAGAAGAAAAACTAGCATACCAGAGAGCACCAGGACAGAGAGACATGAAATCAGCAAATAGCACAACACTTATAAGCTAAAGTTTCCCACTCGATACGTTCCACAGTCCCTCTATTCAACATTTTCATTACAATTTGTACAATTAATAAATAATTGGGTTTTTGTGACTTGCAGATGACAAGATCTGGTGATTAAGTAACTTCAGTTTACTTCCTGATAATGAGAGATGGCAGTTGTGCACCTCCTTCTCCTGCTGTAACTCCTGTAACTCCTGCACTCTGTCTCCCTTCCAGACTCCAGCGAGTGCTTCAGGTGTCCTTCGGACTTCTGGTCCAACAGAGAGCGAGACCGCTGTCTGCCGAAGCCCATCGAGTTCCTGTCCTTCGGGGAGCCCCTGGGGGTGTGCCTGACCGCCGCCTCGCTGCTGGGGGCGTGCGTGTGCATGGCCGTGCTCTCTGTATTCGCTCGGCACCGTCACACGCCTGTAGTGCGCGCCAACAACTCGGAGCTGAGCTTCCTGCTGCTGGCGTCGCTGGCGCTCTGCTTCCTCTGCGCCCTGCTCTTCATCGGCCGGCCGCAGGACTGGACCTGCCGACTGCGCCACGTGGTCTTCGGCCTGGCCTTCGCCCTCTGCATCTCCTGCATCCTGGTCAAGACCATCGTAGTGGTCATGGCGTTTCGCGCCACGCTGCCGGGCGGCGACCTCATGAAGTGGTTTGGAGCAGCACAGCAGAGAGGGACTGTGGTGATCTGCACTGCTGTCCAGGCAACCATCTGCATGGCGTGGCTCATCACCACTCCCCCAGTACCTTTCAAAAACACGCGGTACCAGAACTCCCGGATCATCTTCGAGTGTGCCGTGGGTTCAGTGTCGGGCTTTGGCTGCGTCCTGGGCTACATCGGTCTTCTAGCCGCCGTCTGCTTCCTGCTGGCCTTCCTGGCCAGGAAGCTGCCCGACAACTTCAACGAGGCCAAATTCATCACCTTCAGCATGATCATCTTCTGCGCCGTCTGGATCACCTTCGTGCCCGCCTACGTCAGCTCGCCGGGGAAGTACTCAGACGCTGTGGAGGTCTTCGCCATCCTGGCCTCCAGCTTTGGCCTCTTAGTGGCCATATTCATGCCAAAGTGCTACATCATCCTGCTTCATCCTGAGGAGAACACCAAGAAAGCCATGATGAGTCGAGCTCCTCACAAGAAGTAGACAAGCTGCCCAAATTCTCAGATATTCCGCAGACATTATGATCTTTAGATACATTATTCTGTGGGCCATAGTAGCCCAATTGCTCATGAGCCCCTTGTGCCTAATTATTATTATTGTCATTTTGTTATTGTTTTTATTATTGTTTTAGGAACATGTTCAAAATGTCAGTCAGTGATTACTCCTAAATAAATGCACTGATGGCATTCCTATGACATGAGGTCACCTTGTCTCCTTTGCATTGTGTGGGGTGGGGGTGGGGGTGGGGGTTGGTGGTGGGGGTGGGGGGGGCTTGCCGTCCCCTTGGCCTACATCGTGCCACTAGCCGGGATCTCGTGCCCCGACTGATACGGCTCCCGCGCCCTCGTTTCTGGCGTTGTGTCGAGTCACAGAAATGGCAGAGAAAAATGACAGAGAACCCCACACAGCAAACCGCGTTTGTGAATCTGAGCTCCTGCTAGTTAGAATACAAACAAAAGGCTTCAGAGTGTGTCAGTCTGCTGAAGCTGCATTGCCATTTCACCAGTCAGCCTCACCATCGCTCTCTGCATCTTCACACTGTTTCATCATCTCCCTGTATTAGCAATGGGAAAGCCTAGTGTTTATAGTATAGTGATATTTATTCAGCTCTGTGAGGAAATTGTCTTTTCAGTGATCTCATCTTGCTCTCCATGAGACACACAAACAAGTGAGGGTCACAGTACTGGGGGTCACAGTACAGGGTCAGCCAGCGTGCAGCGTCCCTGGAGAGAATGGGGGCTAAGGGCCCATTGGTGACATCAGTCTGCTGGCCCCAGTGACTGGTGACCTTCCAATCACAGGCAACCCATTTGAGTCCCAACCCAAAGAGCCACATGCCGCACCCTCCCAGACAACCCCCCCCCCCCCCCCCACACACACACACACACACACATTTACACGAACACTATTTCATACCTGTGGAGTGACTGTGATTGCGCACTAATTATTTAGAAGAAAATTAGAGACACACAGCTTTCACTTCAATTATATTTTAATTACATATTGATTGTATTTTAATGACATATTTAATTTGCATTATATTTCTGCCACAGAACAATATGTTTTATATATCTGAATTTTACCTCCCCCAAAGACCCAAAAATGTGAATGAATCAGTCATAGATTTTCTCTAATAAAACATTTTGATTTCAAAGTCACTATTGGATTACTCATTCATATTACCCAAAGCTACTTAGAAACAAATTAAATGAAATGAAATTAAATTAAATGAAATTAAATTACAGAATGCTATTACACACTCCTTAATGGAATTAACGGAACTTTATAAATACACAATTATTCAGTGTTTATATAAATGCCTAAAAGGGAAGAAAAGAAAGCAATTAATTCACTTTTAATCACAATAATGAAGATAATGACGACAGTCAAGATGAACTCACAGCACAGGCTGTATAACAGTGTAACAGTCTCACATTTCCTTTTGAAATCACATCAGGTTCTTCCCATGAAAAATTTCTTGGTGTTGTTTTCTGGCTTCAGTATAATTATATAACATTTTGGGGCAAAAATAGACAGCAAGAGGCCGGAGCTGGAAGCTAGGATGGGGAATATCTCCACGGCGACCGCGTACTTCCCCGGCGAGCTGACGTAGGCAGGCACGAAGGCCACCCAGACGGCGCAGAAGATGAGCATGCTGAAGGTGATGAACTTGGCTTCATTGAAGTTATCGGGCAGCTTCCTGGCCAGGAAGGCCAGCAGGAGGCAGACGGCGGCCAGCAGGCCGATGTAGCCCAGGATGAGGCTGAAGCCCAGGGCCGACCCGATGTCACGCTCCAGGACCAGCTTGGAGCCCTGGAGTCCCGTGTTGCGGTGAGGCTGGGGGGGCCTGAAGGAGATCCAGGAGGTACAAATCGCCACTTGGACGCAGGTGAGGAAAAAGACGCTGCCCCTCTGTTGGGCTGGCCTGAACCACTTCCCAGCGTTGGGAGGAGCGGGCAGGCAGACGAAGCAGCAGAGGGGCTGGCCTTTAGTAGCAGCCTTCCGCGTCCTGGAGGGACACTCCTCCGTGCATCGCGAGCGGAGGAACCTGCCTGGGACACAGTGCTGGTCAGCACACGCCACATACCCCCCCTCCACACTGCTGCATGAAGACAGACAGGAAGCGTATCGCTGAAGTGTCCAGCAGCATCACACCCGGTCCTACTCACCGCCATGTGCCCGTCGGGCCACACGATGGCCGAGTCGCCGGCATGTACCACAGCAGCCCGTCGGGCCCCGCCTGCCAGTTAACGATGTCTCCACCCTCAAAGTAGAACTCCTTCCCCAGCTGTGGTGAAGTGCACTTTGCTCAGGTGCTGCAGCAGCTGAAGGGGGAAGCAGAAGTTTAGAGACTGGCGCCGCCCAACAGGAGCGACAGACTGCAATACCCAAAAGACACAAAAGCACATGCCAAGTAAGCCATTAACACAGATAGCATTTACATACCTGCTTGGGCTTGACTTTGTAACTAGGGTTGCAGCGTGGAGTCCCATAGGGGGCGCTATCCTGGGTGCAGGCAAGCAGGTTAGGTAGGGCGTGTGCCACCGCGTATACGGCAAGGTATGTGATTCGCAACTGGGAGGTGCCCACGAAAGTGGTGTTCTGAACATTCTGCAGCGTCTCCGTTCCCCCACAAGGGGGCAGCGATTTTGCCGCCATTCTCCGGGGTGCACAGAGACTCTAGGACGGCGCTGCCAGGTTGCCGGGAGGCCCGGACGGCACGGTGGTGTGCCACCAGCCCGGGGATGGGAGCGGCTGGCACAGCTACGCCCAGTATGCCGCGGCCCACCGAGGCGAGGGCCGGGTCCGGCAGCAGGCTGCCAATGGTGCTCCAGGCTTCGCTGTCACGTTACGGCGGGCCAGCTCAGCCAGCACCAGTCCGTATACCAGGCCGACACCAGGACGACCCGGGCAGAGGACTCCTGGACGGCTCTCACCAGCCGGGGCATGTCGGCAAGCAACGTCTCCTGCGAGAACGTCTCGAAGAACGCCAGGCACACGCCGACAGCCTGCACCTCCTCGGCAAACACCAGGATGCCCAGCAATCCGTAGTCATTGTTAACGGCGACGGCGCCGACCCAGGTCCAGCCGAAGTGACGTCCACGACTGGTAGAAACCGCTGGGGATGGTCCGGAAGAAATTGGGATGCTCCCGCCGGTTAGCAGACCTGAATGGGACACAATGAGACAGAAACCCGGTGTGACAAAAAACACGCTCATACCGAACCTGAGACTGAACAGGTTGAAGATGATTTTTTTTCCCAGAAAACCCCATGATTCCCGCTTAGAATTAGATGCAACCTCATACATTTCAACAGACATAATTACCCTTAATTAAACATGTATTTATTTAGCAGACACTATTACCTGAAGTGAAATTAAATTAGATGAACTCATCTAATTTCATCTTACCCTTTGAAAGCAGGCTCAGACAGGGTAAGAGCCATGCTCAGGAGGTTAGTGGTATAATCACTCTGCTGAGCTTGGGATTGGGACTGCTGACCCGATCACAGGCGCAGCATCCAAGCCTGCTGGGCCACAGGCTTACCAGTGAGACATCGAGTGGTCCCAGGGTCCGGGGTGGAAGAGGAATCTCCGATGATGACCGGGACAGATCCAGCGGCACTGCAGTTAAAGCCCCACCCACTGGCAAGGGACAGGCCCCCGCCCAAGGCCCAGGGGTGCTTGGAATCCAGGATCCCAGCTTAATGTCTGGCAACAGCCTGGGGTCTCTGTCAATCTGCTCCACAGCGAAGGTCATGGCGAGGGTCATGGTCTGGAAGCTGGACCAGTCAAAATACAGCACAAGAGAAACAAGCTAACAGCAGGCTAATGATGGGCCAGAAGGAAAGGGGGGCAAGTGAAATGGGAGAGATCCCCTCGGTGACCAGCAGGAGGCGTCGAGGGAAGGCAGGACTCACCTGACACAGTTCTGCACCTTGGGAAGCTGAGTGAACTCGACGTCCTGCAGGATGGGCTGGTTGTAGAGGGGGAAGAGCCCCCCCCCAGGACAATGTCCGCATCCTGGGACAGGTCATATCTGTCCTGGTCGCCCAGGGCTTCGTACCGTGAGCAGGTTACCGCCGTCCACGCCTTCGGGACCGGGAGCAGCGCCGCGGGCAACAGCCAGAGAGCGAGCGGGACATGGCCGCCCGTCTGGTGGCCCTGCAGGTCTCGCCACCGTCCCTTATCATCGGGAATGGGCCCCGCTGGGGGCCACAAGTCAGGAGTAAACAACCGCGTGGACAGGCCTGGGCTCACCACCCCCCGGGCCCCCAAATCAGAAGTAATCTTCCTGCCGTTTATTCATTTTACGGCTGGGTGAGCTCGTGCAGATGTGTACTGCAAATGTGTGTTTATAATTATAAAGAAAATAGGGGAAAGGCTGATCAAGAATTTAAGAATGAAACGGCAAAGCTTGGTGCAGGCAGAGAAAGGGGGCAGGGGGGTAGAGACAGTGAGGGAGGGGGCCGCCAGGGACACAGGTGCACCATCTCCCACTGAGCCACATTTCTCCTGTAATTACACCCAATTTCCTAGGTAAGTGTACAGAAAGTACCGCGCAAACGGCCTATGATGATGTCTGCTCAAGACGGGGACAGAGGGCTGTGCAGAATTCTGGGATACGCCACAGCAGACGCGGTAAACACCCCGAACAGAACTGCTGACAGAATACTCATAATAAGCATGACTCGGCTGCTGTTTTTGTTTTTGCTCATAATTAATGGCTGTATCATTATTTTGCCTGTTATTATTATACTCCGGAGCTGATTTGTTGATTTATGTTAATAGTCTGAGCTGTCACACTGTTAAATAAAGGATATGAATAATTCATCATTCGCTGAGCGCTCATTTTTTCCATCATTTTCTTGAGGGGCACGAATAAATGTGTTTAAATGAGGGCATTTGATCAAGACCCCACTGCTTAACACTGATGCGAGGACGACATCCTAATCAGAGTGTGGCGGCTGGTGGGAGTGCGCTGAGGGGTGCCCCCTAGAGGCCGCCGCCTGCCGGCGCTGGGAGGCACACAGACACACTGGGCCCTCTCTGCTTCCATCATATTCCAGAGTTTTATTGCATCAGTCGGGAGTTCAGAAGAGCCATTTCTGAGGCCTGTACAGAGTTTTACTCACAGAAAAGAAAACCTTCCTCGCTCCAAATTCATGCACACACCCCCCCCCAAAAAAAGCTGCATCATCTGTGATATCAAAGCAATTATAAAAATACAGATTGAAACAAAACACACGTGAACCACGTTAAATTCAGGAGGGGGAAGACACGCCACGCTCTCACTCCACAGGGTGTTAAGCCAGCAGGAGGCCTTGTGCCCAGCAACACAGCCATGGGATGGAGCGCAGTCATGCTGGTTCCACCCACCATCTCATGCAGGTTCCTACACACATATTTTATAATCTATTATCCATAATTTAATTATTACAAGATTCATTTGTACATACAGTGCAGCACAGAGACACGGGAAGACTTCAGACCTCAGTCAACAGAACACAGGGGACTCCTCGTTCGTGCTTCAGGGTAGAACAGGAAGTACATCTACAGTCTAAGCAGGAAGTAGACCTCAGGTTCTGATGGCTGACACCAGTCCACAGGGATGCTGGCGTCACCATGGCAGCGCTGGTCTCCATTGGCGTAGAAGGACTTGGTGCAGGAACCTTCCGGAAGCCCCCGGCCCTCAGAGTGCTCCAGGTACCCAGCGATGTATGAGCCGGTGGAGTGGCGGCAAGCGGGGGGGTTGTGGTTGGCAGGCTTGCTGCGGAGCACTACCCCAGTCGTGCTGTAGGAGGCGCTGGTGGGCCGAGGCTTCAGTGCTTCTTGCTGGCGTTCGCGGGCGCGACTGGCAATGTGCCGGACCCGGCTTTGGCTGCGAGACGACAGCTTGCGGGAGAGGGGGTGCAAGGGGGAGGCGGTGAGCAAATCTGGGTTTTGGGAGTGCTCGTCCTGGTCCAGCGACACCAGTCGGCGCAGCTGCTCTGTAAGAGGGTCAGCTGGCGCTGGACATCTGGCCGGGCCAGACGCCTGCCTGCCGCTCTGAGCTCTGGCCGCCATGAAGCTGCGGTTGATGAACTTGTACTTGCTCTCGAAGTTGCAGGAGATGTCCTCAGACGTGAGGTCGCCCAGGCTCTTGGACTTGCAGGGGCCAGGGCTCGGGGACAGGGACGTGACGACGGTACCGATAGCTGGGTGGCCCTGTTGCAGGAAGTGGCCATTTTCCATCCTGGAGCCTGGTGGCCAGTCACTGGATGACCTGCTAGCCGCCTGGTCCATGGTAGAATTGATTCTTAGAGGAAATGGCCGGGAGCCAGAGGAGGCGTGCCCGCTGTGGTGCCCAATGGTCCCCTGGGCAGGTAGATGCTTGTCACCCATCTGATGCCCACACCTGGACTGATGACTGGGCCGCCAAGGCGTTGGCCCATGGATCCAGCTACTGGGGCTACGGTGGGGGTCAGTCCTGGTACTGGAGAGGGGAAAGTTGCCTGGGATATGATGAAGGGGGCTGTGGTTCAAAGGTCCGCAAGTTGAGGGGGGGCGAGGCCCAGCTAACTGATGGGTGAGGCTGGAGGGGGTCAGCGTGACGTCCAGCGGATCCTCGTCAACGTTGATCTCGATCTCCATCAAGCTGCTGCCAGCTGAGTCCTGGCAGAGCAGGAAGCGGTCCGAGGCAGCGCTGTGGAACGATCCACCATGACTTCCCCAAGTCACCTCCTCCCGCACAGCAATGGGACGAAAACAGGGGTTTTGCCCGCATGGGACCTCCGGGGCTCTGCTGTAGGGGGCCTGCTTCCTCGAGAAGAGGGGCTTGTGGGTAAGAAGAGGCTTTACGGGTGAGGGGGCTGGGCTGGCCACAGGAGTGCTCTCCTCAGACCCCATCTGGAGGCTCCGGACCGTGTTCTCCCCAGGGCTAAACTCAGAGATGGGCGACAGCACCTCCTCGTTGAGTATCGTGTAGATGGTGAGGTCGGTGGTCTCCGGGCTGGAGAAGAGCACTGCATTCGACGGGCCACTGGATTGGCAGGAGTCGCAGGCCGAGGTTCGGCACGGCGTCTGGGAGGCATCATGGTCGCTAGACCGCAGGGCCACACTGCTCAGCTCTGCAGTGACATCAAACTGCCCGATAAGCGCCGATATGGACCCACAGGTGTCGTTGCCCAGGGACACAGCATCTATAAGGCGTGATAATGTGCTGTCCTGCAAGGACGAGTCACTCAGCAGATTGACCCGGTTCACAGGCCCAGCACTGGACTCCAGCGTTTCGGTTGTCACGCCTTCCTGACCACACACGGTCTCTCCCCGTAAATGATCCTCCTCCACTGTCTGCCCAGTGTTGGGTTGGTTCTGGCCAATTCTGTGCTGAGTAGGTTCTGCGGTATCAGTCAGGCGGTCCTGCTCGCCACCCAGAGAGAGGTCGTAGAGTCTGTCCATGTGGGGACCTCTGACAGCTGGGTTGACTTCCCCTCCTACATGCGGAGGGCTTTTGGGTCGGGCCATATAAGAAGATGGGGTCTCCAGAAGGAGGTTCAAGGAGGAGGAGCGAGGCCTCAGGACAGAGGTCGTTTCTGTGGACAGAGTTGGAGAGGTCAGCGGTGTCTGTAGGTTCACAGATGAGATGCTCTATTCTGACACTGAGACAGATGGAATGTACCACCAAGCACAACTGTGGGGGTGGTCAATGAAGCTATGCTGTAGGGAACCTCCATTAACACATCGGGGGGAAATGACAAGATGAACAGAGCCAGACAGCGTTTACACAATGCATCTCTTTAAATGGTATCAGTGAGATGGGGTAACATTTAAAACATCTCTGTGGATGAGGTGCCCTCAGTAATCCTCGGGAATTACCTGCTGGGGCTCCTAGTCAGTACTCTACTACAGAGGAGTGCAACGATAAAAACAGAACAAACAAAAGCGCAAGTTACCAGTGATGCCAAAGCTTCAGTCTGAAACAGTGGAAGTAGGAGCACACAGTACATAAAAACAGTGGATGGGAATCTGTCAAATTTACTACCGTAGCACATTATAATGTACCAAGACACACAGAATACGACTGCAGTAAATTACACTCATATACGTAAGAAGATTAAATAATTCTGTTAATATAACCAGGTTCTATAGGGTGAATATTTTAATTATATTAATTATTTAGCCCCCTGTAACACTCACAACAGCTGACAGATAACCAAGATACAAACACCTTGACCCCGTGATCATTGGTTGATCCAATCGTGATGCGTGGGGGTGGTTTGGAGGCCTCACCTGCCGGAGGGTTGGATCCTGCCTCGTGGGCGTCCTGCCTGGGGGAGGACAGGGTCAGGGTGTCCTGGAGCAGCTTATCCAGGGGCATAGAGGCGGGGCGGGGTAGAAGCGGACACGAGGGGGGTGGGGCCCCACCCTCCCCATCCTCGCCCTCGGTCGGCGGTGCTGGTGGCCGCTTGGTCTTCCTACGGCCTTTGGCGGGGGCACTCGCTGTGCGCCGCAGCAGCTGCTGGCTGATAGAGCGCTTGCACAGGGGGGGGCCCACCAGGGGAGTGTCCACACAGCTCCTGGAGGACCGGCTAAACAGACCCTTGATTCCCCGCAACTGTCGGCCCTGGGGGGCAGACAGGGGGGGGCGTGAAACAGACCTAAAAGTAAAAGAAGAGCCCCACCCCGGCAGCGATATGGCAGCATTTGGGAAGACAACACTGGGACAGCGAGCCCCCCCCCCCAACCCTCAAACACAATCACATAATGCGTCCCAAGCTGATGGCTGTACATTCACTCCGTGGGATTCACCATGTAATGAAGCATAACTGTGTAGCCATGCATAGCCTGGAGGTGGCGCTATTGTGCTCCCTTCTCACTGCCTATATCCAAAACCCTTACAGGAGCAATGATGAGGAATATCAGCCAATGGAAGGAAGCCCAGTATGAGAGAAAGAGAAGTAGAGCCAGGACTGGACAGCACATCCACAGGAGCACAGCGCGCATGCAGCTGTCATGCAGCCAGCAGAATTACCCAGAATACCTTGTTAGCTCCCAGAAAATGCAGGATGGTATAGCTGGGATTGAGGATTAAGGGACTCCACTGAAAGGGAAAGCATTTGAAGAGGGAAACCCTACGGTCAGATCTCTGAATATCACATGGGATTTCAGACAAACACCCTCTTTATGCAAATATAACTCAGCTATATATAATGGCCATTGAGCCTCCTGTATAGGACTGAGATTACTGCAAAATCGCAGCGCCTGATTGGATGAATCATAATCAGGATGACCTGCAGCCTTTCTGTATAATACTGACCATTTGGACTCTTGGACTGGAGCGGGCTAAAACCGGAAGGGTCACATACCTTCCCGAAGATGTCATGGATGGCGACATGGATGAAGATCGAGGCTTCGGTTAGACCCTCCAGATAGACGTGCCGGTAACCTGGGGCAGAGAGCAGCAGTGAGTGTGTGACAGTGATAATGTGATATAAAAGATTACTAATCCTAGATAAACCTGTGATGACTGTTACAAGAAACGCAGAAATGATGACACAGTTGTAATCTTCCTGGGAGACATAATGTAATACAAATAAGTATTAATCCTACAAAAATACATCATGACTGTTATTATTGTACTGATAGTACAATTGTACTCTTGCTGTTAGATGTGTTTGTCCCTCCGGATATCCGTGGGACAGACCGGGGTTTGCCTGCAGCTTCTCAATGGCTGGTTCACTGACTGGACTGGGAGCACAGCCATCAGCTGAGCAAGTGCCAGAGAAACAGCTCTGCGGAAGGAGGCACACAGCAGCTTCACGGCGGCACAGACAACCTCCCGGCGGGAGGTCCGTCCCGGTCATTCACAACATCTCTGACGTGCGAGGCATGAGTCAGCCGCGTCAGGAGGGGGAGGCACCTCCGCGGAGCTGGCTGCTTCGCACGACTGAGCGTGCTAATGTGACCGTTTCTCAGGTCTGCTGATCCAGGACGGACGGGGGGACCGGACCCCACACTGACCTGGCATCAGGCTGCTGAAGGCCACCGTCCTCTGGCCCACAAAGTCTCTCCCGATCGGATCGTGGTCCCACACGAGGAAGCGGACCAGGGTCAGTTCAGCCATGTGCAGCGTGAAGGACAGTGTCTCCTCCCAGACGGGGTTAAAACCTACAAGATACCGTCACCCAGAAAACCATAACGTCAGACCAGTAAAATGTAGGGGCTTAACGGAGATGAAGGATTAATGACCGGAATGATGCCCTTACCGTTGTCGTCCACCACCCTGGTCTGCTCCTTGCAGCAGTCGATAGGCAGCCCTATGATTTCCACCTCAACAAACGGATCAATGATCTGAGGATGACAGGCCGTTTATCAAGAGAGGTTTTCTAAACACTGGATGGAGATTATCCACATCACACGCAGCGAATACAAAACCGGAGACGAAAACAAAGATCCTGTGGTGTTTCTCCACACACAGACAGGACGCCGTCGCCTTGAGGTGTGTTTGGAGCCACCCTCACCTCTCCCCGGTCCCCGAGCATGGAGTCTGGTGGTTTGGGTAACTGCTGCCCACTGATGATCTTGAGAACGAGCTGCTTTTTGGGATAAGCTGGGAGAGGGTCACTGCTGAAGGGGTTAAAAGACCCTGGAGGAGAGAAGGAGATATCAGATAAACCTGCAGGACAGGATGGATGTGCCCAGGGGTCTGTGTTACAGCACCAGGTTTTGGTCTCAGCAGCACAGATGTACATGTGCTGGGTCTTTTGGGCCAGATGGCTTTACTCTGTGCAAAAAGTGGCCCAGAGGGAATCAGAAAGTACCTTTACACATGGGGGGAGGCTTGAGGACGTAGCCGCTGTCCCCATTCACCTGGAACTTCGCCCGGTTCAGCTGCATCATACGGCCCTCTGTCTGGTAGTTGAGAGCCACTGGGGATTCATGCAGATCCAGCACAAACAGGCATAAATAAAAAGATCCAGAATATCAAACCAGTCACGACAGAAGGCTTAGCTGTCTGCCACATCTCTGCAGGCTGCAGGCCTTTGTTTCTCATATGAACCTCTGGAAAACTCCACTTGAATCCATATGGTACCTATATATGTGTGTGTGGCAGGCTAGTTCCTCACCCAGGTGACAGCCCATGTTCCAGTAGGTCTGCGGGTTAAAGTTGCTCGAGTCAATGCGGTATGCGGAGGGGTAGATACGCGACAGCTGTTGCTGGTTGAAGCGGACAAAGCGCTCAGCCTGCTGGTGGACGAGATGCTGGGCTTGCGTCTCACTGAAGGACAGCACGTCACTGGGGGTGCCTGGAGTACAGATGGGGGGGGGGGGGGACACAGCGGCCAGCGGGAGCACAGGCCGGGAACCCATCCACGTTAGCAGTGTTTGGTAATGTGCTACAGAAACAAACAGCACAAACAAACCTTGTTATGTAACCTGTAAATGTACATACACACGCACACACGCATGCACGCACGCGCACACACACTCACACGCACGCACAAAGGGCACAAACATCAGGATGGAGGGAACAGCCTGTATTGTTCCGCTCCGAGTCTGGGAGAACTCAAGCTTCTCAGTAACAGGCTGAAAGCTCGCAAGGTGAGCTGTGTTTGTTCCTCCTTGTCCTCACACCGAGCACGTCTCCGCCGCCTCTGCTCCGCCCGACGCCCCGTTGGGGGGCTTTGCTTAGCCCCGGCACAGAGGCACGACGCCTCATCGCCCCCCTTACATATGCTTACTTTCTTCCAGGCTCTCCTGAGCAATGATGGAGTTGGTGAACACCACCAAGGTAGAGAGATCTCTGGTCAGTTTCATGGTCTTCCTTCTCCTCCTGTTACACCAGAGTGAAATTGAAGGGGTTACGTGCTGGCTGTGGCTGTGAAGGGACAATGAGAGTGTGCCACTGCCCCCCCGCCCCAGACTGTGGTAAAATTCCAGGACATCTGGATCGCTTTACATCATAGTCACATCAGACAGATGTTTGAAAGAATGTGTGTGTGTGTGTCATGTACATATTACGTTGTGGGGACCAAATGTCCTCACAATGTGGTAAAAACATGTTACTTTGACGTTGTGAGGACAATATTTTTTGGCCCTGACAAGGGGACACTTAATTAAATAAAAGTCTGTGACTGCAATCAAAAAACTAAAAATGCCAAAAGTCTTGTATTTTGTTTGGCTACTTATGGTTACGGTTAGGGCTGGATATAGGGGTTAAGGTTGTCATTGTTGGAAATAGGGTTTTGCCCATAGGAAGGAACGGACTCTGCAACTCTGAGATATGAACATATTTTGCAGGTGATGCAATAGGCTGCTATTCTGCACATTTATATTGAGTCTGGAGTCTGCTTTGCTTATTCGTCCATGAGAACAGAAGGCGGTGAGCCGGGGGTGGGTTTTCAGCACGGAAGCCTCGAGTCTGCTCCAACATGTGGGATGCCTGACAGCTTCCTATAAAAACCTCTGCCTCAAAACTTAAGCCGAAATTCAGAAATGATCTCCCAGCTCCCCCTCTCGACAGAGAAAACTTTACCTCTGAGCGGGGGCCAGCAGAACTGCAATGCAACATCAACATGAGAGCAATGAGATGAAGATAAACCCAATTACAGGCAGAGGACATTCAGACTGAAACCCTCTGCTGATGTGTCATCATCTCAGCCTCCGCAATATGCGCCGAGAAACTCACATCGTCCCTCCTCCCCCGAGTAAATTAAGTTCTAAGTGTCCAGTGTGAGGAAAAAAAAATAAACAACTCGAATTAAGTGGAACGACAGAGTGACGGGGAGAGAAAAGACTTATTTATAGAGCAGGAGCTGCTCACAGAGGGAATGTGCCCCCTCACAGACACATCTGTGTCTCACAGTCTTTCAGTGCAGTGGTGGATTTTCACTTGACTTTTCGCACGTATTGATTGGCCGTGAAAAGGCGTTTGGGCTGTGAGCGGCTAGAGCACGTCAAAGCTCTGCAGGAGACCTTCGGCCTTGAACTAAAGGCGAGTTTAAGTGTGGAAGTGCATGGAGACATCAGGAAAAGATTCCTGTGCCAAATGGGAAATTAATTGGTATCATCCACACTATTTGCTTGAATTATCCATTATAATGATTGACAGTGAGGACAGTGTTTCAAATATATGCATCTTAATTATGCATTTTAACAGCTACTGTGTATTTGTATGCATATTCCAAATTTGTCAAATAAACAAATGTTGGTAACACTTTACTTAAAGCAGTCATCACAATGCATTGTAGATACCTTCATAATGCATTATAATGCACTCATAAAGCATTATAAATACGGCTATAAGTACTTGTAGAAAGGCATGACACATTATAGCTATGTTTATTATCCATTATGACTGCCTTAAGACGCTCCCATCTATAATACTATAGATACCTTCATAATACATGTTCAGTATAAGCCATTAAAATGCATTATGAAGATATTTATAATGCATTATAGATGAGAGCTTTATAGAGCATTCATAATACATAACAGACATACACAAATGCTTAACGTATATTCTGCTTTGCCTGGCCAATAATGACTCTTCATTTCAGCATTTCGCACTATGATTCACTTACAATAAAACTGTATCCTTTAAAGACTGGACTCAGTTAATCAGGAGGTCTTTTCTCTCTGACTGCCCCAGTCCATTACTCTGCTTTTCTAACCTGTCCTACTTCTGCATGGTATCTCATCCTTTATCAGGACAGGAGCTGCATTTCCGGACCACCGCCACACAGATGTCAGATGGAGAGCAGCTGGACCGAGCCAACTACAGGCGAAGGAGCCGACAGACACCAGTGGGAGATTCACCAATCAAGGGCAATAGTGGGGTGACAGACAAGCAAGGCGGCCAATGAGCTTTCACCTGTGGAACTGCCCCGTGTCTTTATTGGGGCCGTCCTGCTGTCCATCTTCATCTGTGTCCACACTCTGACACTTAAGCCGGGATTTGGAGTGTCGCTGCAGGGAGAAACAAACAAACGTGTAAGTAACCGCAGCTTTGTGAGTGTGACGGTACTAAATAAAAACCAAAGGCTCTGTTTAATAGCTAAATTTAGCTTAGAAAACAGGAATGTTTGGTCTTGACGATTCATGGCGATGTACCCTGACGTACAAGTACAACATGAAGTAAAGCTACAAGCAGTGATACACACTCTGTAGAAAGAGCGCCCCCTTTAGGCCTCTAAGACGCACATGAAATGAGTTTTCACAGCACCAAGCTATAATCACCCAGCTGAAACGAGAAATGAGCCCTAGACTCATATGACAGAAAGTCGATGCTGATGGAATGTGGACAGGCCCACAGCCACTGGAGGTGCTGGGCTGTGTTGGCTTGGCTTATTTATCCGCAGTAGCCACTGAGGAAGCATGCCGGTGCGGTGGTGGGCACTGTGGCACCGCAGTAGCCACTGAGGAAGCATGGCGGTGCAGTGGTGGGCACTGTGGCACCGCAGTAGCCACTGAGGAAGCATGCCGGTGCGGTGGTGGGCACTGTGGCACTGCAGTAGCCACTGAGGAAGCATGCCGGTGCAGTGGTGGGCACTGTGGTACTGCAGTAGCCACTGAGGAAGCATGGCGGTGCGGTGGTGGGCACTGTGGTACTGCAGTAGCCACTGAGGAAGCATGCCGGTGCAGTGGTGGGCACTGTGGTACTGCAGTAGCCACTGAGGAAGCATGGCGGTGCAGTGGTTGGCACTGTGGCACCTCAGTATGAATTGGAGTTTGCAAATTACATGTGAGTGTGCCCTGAGATGGGTTGGTACCCCTTCCTAAGTTGTTCCCTGCCTTGTGGACCCCCCCAGCCCTGGACAGTTGGATGGTTTATTCATTGATTTCTACGAAAACTGTGACATGAATACAGGAGAGATGGCTCTCTCATGGCATAAGTTAGGCTGATTGTTATCCCCGCCGGGAGGTCACCTAAGCTAAGCGCAGCCTGGAATATCCATACCTTCTGCTTCAGGTTGCTAATGAAGGATCGACTCTGGCTCCTCTTCCCGCCTTCTTTCTGATTGGCCTTCTAGAGGAGGGAGACAAACACAGACTCATATCTTTACACAGAAATTCCCAGACTTGCCAGTGCTTACCCCTAGGAGAACACCATGCCTTGCTCCCCCAAACACCATATCCCATTATCTGAGCACTATAACCCATTGCCTACCTGAGATCACCGTGATCAGTTTCCAGTACCAGTGTGCGTGTGCCATGTATATATTACATTGTGGGGACCAAACGTCCCCAGAATGTGATAAAAACCTGTCATTTTGATGTTGTGAGGCCCCTTTTTTTGGTCCCCACAAGGGGGAATGAAATTTTATAAAGATCCCTGGCTGCAATCATAAATCTAAAAAAGAGCTGCATTTTTTTCTGGCTACTTATGGTTAAGGTTAGGGCTGGGTAGGCGTTAAGGTCGTCATTGTTGGGATTTGGGGTTTTCCCATAGAAATGAATGGATGGTCCCCCTGAAGATATGAATACAAACCTCTGTGTATGTGTGTGTGTGTGTGGATTAGGTTTATATTATATTTTGGTAACCAAATGTTCCCCACAGTGTAATAAAAAAATTTTTTTTTTACATTGCGAGGACCATTTTTCAGGTCCCCACAAAGATCTGTGAATGCAATAAAAAAAAGTAAAAATGCCAAAAGTCTCGTTTTTTTGTTTGTTTACTTATGGTTATGGTTAGGGCAGGTTAGGGGTTAAGGTTGTCATAGTTAGTGTTAGCATTTTTCCCATTGAAATGAATGAGCGGTCCCCATAAGGATATGTATACCTTACATGTGCGTGTGTGTGTGTGTGTGTGTGTGTGTGTGTGTGCGTGCGCTTGCTCACATTTTATCCCTGACCAGCCTTCACAGAGTCTGAGAAATGCAGAGTTTAATGGCTTCACTCCTTGGGGACTGAATGACTCCAAACGGCTCGTGCCCAGAATGACAACAACACTGGCAGGAGGCGGACAAGGGACAGTGGCTGTCACGGCACCACAGTGACATTCGCCTGACAGCCTCCCGGACACCGTGATTAGCCCGGAATAAAAGCCAGGACCTGCGGGGAGCTACCTGCTTGAAGTTGCTGTCGAGACCTTTGTGGGTGGCCTGCAGGAGGGCTCGGATGGAGAAGCTGTCTGTGTCCTCCTTGTCACCGATCTGGGACTCCTTCATCAGAGAGTCCAGCTTCTTCCTGATGAAGGACTCCACCTGGTGCCGGTTGTGGCCATTGCTCTGCGGATTAAAATGGTCCACTGAGTCATTGGGGCGTCTTCTTCAAAAGCCTGCTAGCAGAACCTGCTGAACTGTGTCAGTGCAAAGAGCTATACAATTGATACTGGGTGGGGCTGTGGGGTAATCATCTAGAGCAATTTTCCAACCCAGTCCTCGGGGACCCTCAGACAGTTCATGTTCTGCTCCAGGAGCTGGGGGGGAGCAAATGTGGAGGATTGGGTTGGGAAACACTTGTCCAGAAGTCCAGCCTAAATCAGTGAGAGTGAAAAGAAGCTGCAGGCACACCCCATTAATGACCACAAGAGGGCGCCCTCTGAGGATTACGCACACCACCACCCAGACTGACTACCTGCCAATAGCACAGAGCTGCGGGGCGATGATCAGCTTTGAGCGTAATGAAGTGCTCAGTTAACCAGAAAAAAAAGACTCGCTGTGTGGATGTCACTCCAGATCAAGGCTCCCGACGTAAGAGACCTGATAACGAGCTCAGCGTGTTGGCACTCCGATGCCAACTTTAACGATCTAAAACCTTGCTGTACTCCTGTGATCATTTTGTTTTTTTAAGTTCACGCACTCGCTGACTGCAAAGGTCCGCCTTTCTCTCCTAAGCCTCTTACGCTGACGACCTTTTGGCACTAAGCCCCGCCCACGCGATGCAGCGTTCATGGATGTTCTAATTTCCACAATGAAAACGCTCTGCCTTTGCAGCCAAAAAGGAGTCTGGAAGTACCCAGGCCCAGGGGCGTCGTAGCGGGGGGAAAAAGGGGACTGAGTTACCAGGGCCCCATGTGGGGGGGGCGGCCCTAAGGAATCTGGAATTTTATTTTCCTTTAAATATTAATATTATTCAAAGATCACAATAAATGTTGCTAACTAATGTAAATGTAATTTTTGTGGGAAAATAAATCGGTTGACGGATTGAATTGTGTACTAGCTTACTGTGCCTGAGGACAAGCACCCTCACCCCCTGCAATGGTTTAGTCTTCACCGGGCTTTTTAACTAGGCGCATTTAATTTAGCGGTCATTCTGCTGAATCAGCTGAATCCGTGCTGGAAGATGATGCCAAAGAAAGCTAAATCCGGTTTTCAAAAAAGAAGAGAGGCAGGAAAGAAACAAAAAAATAAATGAGGGAAATCAACTGCTTGCAAACTTTTTTCCCAAGAAAGGTGAGCCCAAATGTGAAAGCAAATAGCCTACATTAAATGAACTGTGATTATGGAAAACTTCAATACCAGCGCGAAATTACACATAGCTTAACATGATGTACTCTAGATAAGTCTAAATGGTTTTTTTTTTTGTTTGCTTAATCATCCTACAAATAAAACCAAATTCCAGTGAAGTCGTGTGATTAGGCTGTTTTTTTTTTTGGGGGGGGGGGGGGCATGGGCACTGTTTGTGCATAGGGCCCACAATTTGGTGCTACGCCCCTGCCCAGGGCCCCCAAATCTCACAGCAAGGACACAGATTGGGGGGGAGGGGGGCAAAGATTCCATGTCAGTTAAAAGATGAGCAGCCATTTATGTACCTAAAGATTAAAATTGGGGGCAGTGTGTGGCTCCACAGGTTAGGGCCTGTGATCAGAAGGCCACCAGTTCAAATCCCAGGGTCAGCAGAGTGATGTCATCAGTTGGCCCGTGAGCAAGGCCCATAATCCCCTATTGCTCCAGGCACTGTCTGACCCCACACCCCCTTTCATGGCGTTGGATAAAAATGCCTGCTAAATAAATCAATGGAAATGGTGGAAGTCAGCCTATGCTTTTCTGAATATATGCAGGGCACATTTTCTGTATTCATAAACAGAACAGCACGCCGTTTCACTTTGCAAAGCAATGCTGTCATCTTAAGCCTAATATCAAAGCAAAACACACCGCAGTCTGAGGGATACGGGGCACATCCCAGCAGGCTCGTGAGAAGAGGGGCATTTCCCAGCATGCTCTGCTGCTCTAAAACCCCTCCCCCTCCCCAAACACTCTTGCCCTGCAGCCTTTCAGACAGGCTGAGGCGTCAGGCTCCATAGTCGGGGTTTAAATCTGATTATCCACCGAAGACGTGCCTGGCAGGAAAACAGGGCCGGGGTGAGGTTCCGTTTCCCGCATCTTGCCAGATTCGAGGGAACGTCTTGGGGGGAGAGGGAGGGTTAGCAAATTTACCCAGCAACTTGGAGATTTCGGAGGCCTGGGATTATCCAAGTACCTTGGTGGAGTGTGTCTGACGGAGACAATAAACCTCTCCGCCACTGATCAAATATCGTCTACCACGGGAGAAGAAGAGGAACGAGGGAGACATCAGCAGACAGAGAGGCGGGGAGGACAGAGGCTGGGTTTAGTGGCGGGTTTGTATTTTGGACAGTTTGTCCTCACATTTTGGTAAAAACTGTTTAAGCTTGTGTGGACATTTTTCAGGTCCCCACAATGCAAGCTTCAATTTTATAAAAATCTGTGACCGCAGTCAAAAAACTACAATATATTTTGCTTAGTTAATTATAGTTAAGGTTAGAGCTGGGTAGGGGTTAAGGTTGTCATAGTTGCGATTAGGGTTTTCCCCATAGAAATGAATGGATGGTCCCCACAAAGATACAGATGTGTGTGTGTGTGTGTGTGTGTGTGTGTGTGCTTATGCGAAGGTCAGACTTACACTGCTCTTCAGCTTGAAGCCGTCCTCGATCTCATCGGCGCTATCGTCGTCGGACACCTCCCCCTCCTCTGCGTCCGCGGACAGGTTCGGGGGCAATCGTTTGCCCTGGGGGGGGAGAGGGGGGGGTGACATCCAAGTCATACCCCTTAGGCTCTCCACAGCCACACATACCACCTCCGACTTACTGTCTATTTCAGTAATAAATACCACACACACACACACACACACACACACACACACACACACACACATTATCTGGCAGACATTTAGTTCTCTGCCAACCACATTTCCAAAGCCCATAAAACAGGAGGGACTTGCCGAATGTGAAATCCAGTGCGTGCTAACATTCAGCTTGGAGTGTTTTGTCGGCCGATAAACCTCCACGGGAGAGAGGGACTCACTCAGGAGTCATTTGGCTCCTCAGCATTCATGCTTAGGATTTCATCTCAATAAATGCCCATTAAAGGAAATCAATTCGGCTTCTTTTGCCTCGAGTTCCGAGAGTTTAAGTGACATCAGCACTTTGACCAAAGGCGTGGGCTGTCATGGGCCCCGATGGTCAGGAAGGGGTGATTTAATCTCCACAGTGCCCCACCATGAGGCGCACATGCATGCACACACGTGCACGCACACAATCCTTCCGAGTAGCCATGAGACATGGTGCTAATTCTTCTGTTCAGATTAGCTGAGCGTCATTGTCCCCCAGAGAGCATGTGGGGATTGGGGGGGGGGCTAATGGTATATCACATGACCGCTCCCTGAGGATGGTGTCATCACCCCATCTGTTCAGTTTAACAGGTCCTGTAGAACCAGCAGAGGCTCAAATCCTCAGCAAAGAACCCAGCACCTTGATCCCCATCCCACATGCTGTCCCACAAGCTTCTACCCATCGAAGAGAAGAACGGAGCACATGCCAAGACACTGACAGGCTGTTAACCCCAGATTTTCTGCTCCTGCCTTAGTAAACACCCTCCTGGTCGTGTGCAGCTCCAGAGCCAGGCTGATCCCAGGCTGATCCCAGGCCTGGCAGGCTCCCTAGAACATCTGGCTCCTTGCAAACTTGGCCTGGCTTAAATTTCAAGGAAGATGTCCAAGCAAGTACCTTAATGAGGATTTTTCCCTTCAGGAGGTTGGGGCTAGGCAGCTGCTTCATCTCCTTGATATTCACTGGCCCAAGGTCCAGCTTGTCCCCCAGGATCTCCTGCAGGTACCTGGCCATCTTCTTCTGTTGCTGGATGCTACAGTGATTCTCTAAGGACAGAATCACGGGGTACCTGTGGGGGTGAGCAGGTGGTTCATTCTCACCAGCTCTGCACCAGGACTATGGCTTGGGTTCCACGGTCCACGGTTCCTTTAATTCCAGAGTAATGAAATTTTAACAACACAAGATGTCTCGGAGTGACCTTTTAGAAATGAGGAGCACCTGAAACATTCACAATCACCACTCACATCACCTGTTATTTTTCCTGTAGCTAGATACGCCCATAACATCCAAATGACAACTCCATACACCCAAAAGGCCCTGAAATTTTAAAGCTAATGGAGCAAAGCTAATGTCCCCATGAAATTCAAAGGGGGCACGCAAATGTTAGCCAGCCTACAAACTTAATTTCACACATCCAATTTAATCAAGCATATTCCGGCCACCACAGAGGAAAGACATAAAGAGAAAAATATTCAATTTTAAGCCCAGCAAAAGGTCCATTCTAGACATCTGTATATCTTCACAGAAGTGTAATGTTCCTAAGGATCTGAAGGACTTAAAAGTAAACAAATGAGAGCTGCCACTAACTGATATTTCTCTATAGATTAATATATCGACTATTTTATTGATTAATCTAAATGATTAAATTTCCTTCAGAAAATCAACTTAATCAAGTTAATTTTATTTCGACCACAACAAACGAACGACACAACCACTGCAAGGCTTTAGATAATGTACGGCAGCTTTTCGGCACCATATGAACATTTTTTCGAACCAAAATTTGATAAGCTGGTTAGTAGCATGCAAAAGATATTAATGAGCGTGTATCGTGAAAAATTTGTAATCTGTATATAAATTTGGCGCATCCTCATGCTTAATAAATTACGGTCGCGGAGCACGGCACTTGTGAAACACGCGATAAGCACTGAAGGGACAGATCAGCGGCCGCAACGACTTTTAAAAGAGGAGATACTGTGGTTAAACGAGGTAAAAAGATGTTGGGGTGGCGGTACTTTTTGCGGATTAAAGTTTTCATTTTTATCTTAGTTCATGAATTATTTTATTTAGTGTCTGTTTTCATTTAAGTTTTAGTTTATTAAAACAATAAAAAAAAAGATGATTCAATTTAAAATATTGATGTTGACGCATTTTCAGCGATGACATCTCCGACAATGTCGACTTATCGCTACAGCCCTAAAGGAAATAAACACACACCTCTCTGTCTTGTTGCAGCGTATACGGTCTTTCCTGCTCTCTCCTACGCACAAACAAGGCTCGCCAACCACGCAACACTTCACCTCTAAGAGTAATTGAAACTTACACTTCCTGTGTGCAAGATCAGCTTCGCACAGATGACGTATTGATCCTAAGAAAAGCCAGTTCTGCTTCACCCCAGGCCAGGCTAAAATACCTCCCCCTCTCCTAGATTCTATTAACCAGCCGCAAAATGTTCTAAGAAGCAGTTTCAGGAAGTGAAGTGCATCCTACCGGAGCACCAATTTGGCTAAATACTTGCACTACGAATCGATACTGAAAGCCAATTAGCCACAAAGGGTTAGCATGAGCATTTGAGGAAAACAGGGGGTGAGGCCACCTACTCGTTGTTGATGAAGGCATACTTGTTGATGGTCTCGATGACGGACTTGAACGTGATCTTGGAGGTCAGGGTGTAGCCATGCTGAACCATGGGATCCCCGTCTGGACCGTCCCAGCAATCCACTACATGGGGCAGAAAGAGGAAGTGCAAGCCGTCATGTGACCTGCCGAGAGGCTTTCCTGCAGACGAACGCAGCGAGGATCAGCCCACCTTCCACGCAGCGGCAGCCATTCTGAAGGACCCAGGCGTACATGTCAGCCTTGGAATGGGACAACAGCTGGTCGCCAGTCAGGTAGGTGTTGTGAGACGACGCCACGTAGTAATTACACAGCGGCTGGTCCATGTCCTGGTTCACCTGGTGGTGCAGGGGGTTGAAGATGTCGCAGGTTGGACTGCGCATGAAGTTGGTAAAGCCTGGCAGGGGTGGGTGAGGCAAGGAGAACCATCATGGTGATGTCAACAAGCACCGGAGAAGCCGGGGAACCCACACACACATACACAAATCAGCAACAGAACCACAGTCCTTCAGTGAGAACAGGCAACAGCGGGAGTGTCACATCATCACTCTCTATTAGCACGAGGCCCACAGCTTTTTGGAAAAACCTCACACAGACACAAGCTCATTTACATATAGATTAATCGTCCTGATATCCGTCATACACTCAGACACACATATAAACAAATGCAAATTATTCCTTGGAAGCTCCGCCCACTAGCACCTTTCCGAGAAATTTGTCACTACACTGCTGTCACTGCTGCTCCCTGACAGCCCTCCCCAACACAATAGAACCTCAATCCACACACTCTCCACCCTACTCTCTCTCAGACACACACACGCACACACACGCGCGCGCTGGACAGGCGTTGTCACAGATCTCGGTCAGCGCGGCTTCAATCCATTAAACGTTGCCCAAAGTCCAATTACCGAGGCTTAAATGCTGAAGTGCCGTGAAATCCGCTTTGTGTCCCCGAGCTGGGGATCCCCCCCCCCCGCATGTCCCACATAGTGATACTGGAGGGTATTTTAAAACCCATCATGCTCAACGTCAGGGCAGAAAATCTACCCACAAACCCAGGAAAGCATTAAATACTTGAACACTGGCCCAGGGACAGAAAGACAGCAGGATGGGAGAACAAGGTGGACACCCCCACCCCCTCCTCGCTAATCCCGCCGCAAGCTGGAACAGGGCATTTCAGAGAGGGGGGCATTGTTGGGCCAGGAAGTAAAAATCCACACCAAGATTTTATTTCTACCAACCATATGAGTACTCTGTGACTGTGACTCTTCTTATGCAACTGGTTGGTTGAAACTAAATCTTGGTCTGGATTTTTACTTTCTGGACCCGGAATGTCCACCTATGCAGCTGAAATAGGACTCATGACAAAATCAACCATTTACACATTGTCATAAATGCCCCTTTAGCAATCATCATCATCACCACTACACCGGACTCTAACGTCTGTTTGGTTGTACCAAACCTCAGTCCACCCAGTCTCATCCTGCACTCATAGTGGTTCAGACTCACACACCAATGACATCACCCTTCCTCACTCAGTCACATGACACCTCTGGCCCATCAGGACAGGGGAGACTGTGAGGCCAGACTCCTTTTGCTTCAGAGCAGAAGCACACAGACCATCAGTGAGTCCAGACCACACTCATCGTGCCAGCCATTGATCTGAAAACTACTTCCTGGAGTACTGATGAACTCAAGTTCTTCAAAAGTCAGAGGGGTCCTCGCTAAAATTTCCGGGAGTCTTCAATCTCAAACACTACACATTTCAACAAAGATAAATGTCTGTGAAATTTTGCAAACCAGGCAAACAGCAGAATTTTGGCAAAAGCAAAGGATGACAGCCATAAAAAAACATACTTTTGATATTCTTATCAAATGTGAGGAAGCAAGCTTACAGTTTTATATAGCTGGACATTTGACTCAGGGATTCAGGTTTTTGATCAAACAGTGAGGGAAGTGAGTGTGAGAGAGAGATAGAGAGCGAGACAGACAGAGGGAGAGAGAAACTAACCTTCAATACCCAGGAAGAATTTCTGTTTGTTGTCATCAGAAACTTCAAACTTATCAATGATGTCCAGGCAATACTCCAAGGTGATGTTGGTCATCTGTGGGACACAAGATGTTGGCTCAGCTCCAGCGTCGTCATCCTGCCCGCGATCCACCAGTCTCCCCCCCCTCCCACACAGGTGCCGTGCTGTGGCCGTGCGTCTCCAGGTCTTACCTTCTGCTCCACCTGCAGGAAGTTCCCCAGCTCCTCGGCTGTTAGGTACTCCTTCTTGTCACTGTACGCCATCATCAAGAGGTACAGATCCCGACGCAGAGACATCATCTTGTAGAAGACGTTGAACTCCTCATAGGTGAGGGTGCCCTGTTGGTCATCCGTGTCTGCCTCCTTTGACGGGCACCGTAGAGTGAGTGACAATACCCACAATGCACTGCATTCATCAATCAAACCCTCGGATGCAGGCAGTCACCGATGAACAAGAATTAACAAGGCAGCTCAAATTACGTGCCCATCCATCTTCTGACCACTTACGTTGGTCAGGGTCGCGGGCCAGCTCAAATTATCTATGGAATTATTTTAGGCTTAAGAAACATTGTCATTGTTGGCCTTCAATATAATAAAACATTTAATTTATGATTATAGATAATAAACGACACAAACACGAGCCACACTCAAAATAAACTACAAATAACGTAACTCGTCTGTTCCTCATCCGAACGCAGCACTTGATTTCTATCTCTCAGCTACTGCCCTGTCATCCCTTAGATGGAAGCATTTCCCATCACAAGCATGCAAGCCTCAAAAACAGAGAAACAGCATCAAACAGCAGCTACATTCTCCCAGGTCTGAATGAAAAAACTGCAAATTCTTATAAAGAACAATGATATGCAGTCAGTAATCACTGTATGCTTTGGTACTGAACTTTCTATTAAAAAAAAAAAAGTACAGAATGTAGTTGTGCATGTCAAGAACACAAAGGAGCAGTATGCATTACAAATAATCTCCTTCCTAAATGAAGGAGACTCTCACCAGCTACTAATCATGATTAAAGGCCTTCAAGAACTGTTTGGTATTCAAATCTTTATACTCCAGAGTGAACAGATTAACCTGCAGATTAATCAAAAGATGCAAAAATGTAATCAAGTGAAAAATGCAGTCAACAGCGACACACGTAGGTGTTCTGTGATGGGCTGTATCTGCCAGGGTTGAGGTGGCCCCTCACCCACTCGCAGACATACAGGTTCCTCGTGCCCTTTGGCCTAGATCTGGAGATCAATCTCGCGTCCTCAAATTGCCCGCACTTCCAGGAAAGCGTGGATATGCCCGAAAATGAGGCGTGACCTTTCAATGGCCTGATCATGAGTGAGTCGTAATTTCTCTCTCATAAAATTTGCGTGCTTTGGGTGAAATGAGTGACTAATACACTGAAGTTGTTGTTCTGCAAAAAAATGTGTAGCCAATGTCTGTACTGCCCAGGTTCCAGCAATGTTTGTACTGCCCAGGTTCCAGCAATGTCTGTACTGCCCAGGTTCCAGCAATGTCTGTACTGCCCAGGTTCCAGCATTAGACTTCAGGATGAACTGATAGGTCCTTCGTTCTCCATCCAAAAATAATAATGTATTTTACTCAACAAACCTCAGGTCAGGATGTCAGTTCCTGTTAATTTAATCACAGATACGTGTTGGTATCTACACCACTAGTCAAAGGGCTTCGCACACACTGAGATTTTCTACATTTGCATGTTACTCACTTAACATTTACTAAAAATACACTCAATATCCTTTGCTAACAAATACATTTACAGTATGTTCACCATTTGAGTAGCTGTATTAGTAAGAAAATGTCACATCTTTGATTCATCAAAGTAACCTCCTCTAGCAGAGAAAATCTGAGGCATTCTTTCTACAAGGGACATTAAATACTGCTCTGTTTCATGGGGTGACACAGTTATTTAGTGCATTTAGAGTGAAAGAACAGCCTAGAATCTGACATCACCACACAACCAGATAATAGGTTGTCAGACATGCACTGTTACATACTCTTTCCATGTTATAAAGGAAACTTGATTTATTTGAGTTATATTTTCATTTATAATTGTTCACTCAACTTTCCAATGCTTAAGAATAACAATTTGCAATTTATGAAATAAAATGGAAAAGTGGTAAAAACCAGTGGCATGTAAAAGCTTTTGACTGGTGCTGTAGATAAGCATGTTGTCTTGGGAAATAAGATGAACATGCCGGTATCCTGTGGGTCACGTCCATACATACCATCATACAAGCCGCTCACCTGAAACATCTGCTTGACTTTTCTCCTGGGCAGATTGACATTGATCTTGTGTAGCAATTGGTAGATCTCCTCAATATTCAGCAGACCATCTCCATTCCTGTCTGCCTCCTCGAAGGTCTGCTTCATCCACGTGGCACAAGTTAAAGAAAGCCATTGTGGGAAAGATGCAGATGCAGACACATTATGAATGGCCGGTCGAGGTAAAAGACCTCGGTGCATTGTGGGAGATTCCCACAGGAGGATAAATCATTTTAAAGACCAGCATAATGTGGTCCTTTTGACGTCAGAAAGCACGGACATTAGAAAGCCTAATGTGCAGGACCACAAAACACCAAAGAGGGCATTACATCTCCCTTTGTAATACATAATTCATACCACAGTAATATTATGGGCTGCTCCACTGAAAATGGTGGTGGGGTACTCTTATAAAAGCTCCTCTGTCCTTAGAATTGGGGGTGGGGTGAGTAGACGGCCGTATTCGGGACAGCACTGTAAAACACAGTGCAACTGCCAGCAGTGCCGGTCGAAGGCCATGTGGAGGCCGAGGCAAGATTCACCACCACTGCATTCTGTGCCAGCACTGCAAAGGGCACAAGTAGCATCTGAGTCAAAGTGAAACTGGCGCGCTAAGTCGGCATCCAGCCCAACTGGTAATCTAGAAAAATAGCGCCACCTATTGGGTCTGGGCGTCCTGGTATTTTACCGTTTCCAAGCACAGGTTTCACGGTTTCTCTTTTCCTTGGTGTCCTACACCCTAATCTGACTGTTCCTCTTACCCAGAGCTGTGATTCAAGGCACTGCACTGTACAGAAAATGCTACCATGTAAACAAGACTCATTTAACAAGAGCAGTCTGCATTTCTGTGACAGCAGTCTACCTCTCATTTCACCCAGAGAGTACTGCGCTCTTTGATATTTGGTGTCTGCTGGAAGTATTCATGATGGCGTGGATCCCTGAGTGAGGCACGGCCTTGTTCGCGGCGGAGCAGAGAGGATATTGGTCGTGGGTGCGCTGCCGCCTAGCCAGCGAGTCCTCGTCGCTGATGCCAGCCATGAGGTACCGGAGCCCCGTGACCCAGGTGCGTGCCTCTTCAGGGTTGGAAGTCACCACGTCCAGGGACTCCATGTGGTTGCCATGGTAAATGGTGAAGCAGCAACCGGGGTCAAAGTTCCCCTCGGCGTACCGATGGAAGATGTCAGACTGGCGGCCCTCTGTCACTTTGTAGAGCGAATCGATGGTGACTGCGAGGGGTTATGGGGGCGGGGCCACGGGAGACAGACGTGGGGTTTCAATTAATTCTCCTGTTCCGAAGCATGCTTTCATTTCCACGCGACCATATTAAAAAACGACAGACCGTGAAAAAGGCTGTTTTTAATTATGTCGAGATTCCAAAAAGGGTTGTGTTCATCGGAAACGCGCAGATGCTCTGTAGCCCTTACCAAACAGCCAAACGAGAAACCAATTAAAAAATTCACAATATCTGCTAAGCAGAACACCCCCCCTCCCATAACTGTTGAGTGAGCCAAGCTATCAGAGTGAGGGATTCAGGGCCTGTCAAAGCAGGGGAGGACTGAAGGTGTGAACATCTGGAAGGTACACCAGGAGCAGGGAACACTTCCAGATTTGGAGGCGCCGAAAGGCCCCATGTCTAGGTTGACTCTCACAGAGATCGAGGACCCAGGCGACTTACTTTTGGCTTTCTCGCTCTTCCGCGAGGGACGCCAGCGTATGCAGGATCGGTGCTCGTCCAGGTAGAAGAGCCGCACTAGACCTTTGGACCCGCTCTTCAGCTTGACCATTTGGGTCCCAGACTGCATCACGCTCATGCATCGCTCGACTGAAAGACATGGAGGCCAAGAAATTAAGACCACGCTTCCAGACTAAAAAAAGAAATCTCTTGGACCGTAATGCATTTTCCTGAAAGGCCAGCATGATGCTGCACTTCCAGGGTGTGCTCCAATTCATAATCACACCCCCTGACTCTCGCTGAAGGACATGCACTATGGACTCCAAGGCTGCTGATCCGAACATCTGGTATTCCCTCAAGCAAAGTGTTTAGGTGAACCTGCTCCAGTGCAATTCCCGGTTGTATTAATAGGAAAAAATGCATAAGTCGCTCTGGCTAAAAGCTTCATTCATGTGAGGAGTCACCTGAAATCTGGAGGTGGGACTGGACACATCAGAAAAGCCATTACTCTCTAATGCTAAAGTAAGTTTGATGCCTTCGAAACACCAGTCACGGGCCGTGGCTCCTCTCCACTTGACAGGCTCCATCTCAGAGGCAAAAAGGACCATGTGGAATTAAATCACCCCCCGCTCCCGATTGCCCCTCACACGTGTGCCGACACAGCGCAGGTGCAAACTCACAGGGCGCAAGAAAATGCCTGGGCTCCTCAACACTGCGCAGGACTGCGCAGGCGGACTGCGGTAATTGCCACAGTTTCCCTGCCAGGGTGGCACAGCTGCCTACCCCCCCCCCCCCCCCCCCCCCCCCCCACCCTCCAACTCCACCACCCAAGCCGCTTCCTATTCACAGGAAAATCTGCATCTCCATGTGTTGAGTCGCTGGGGATCATGAGCCTCCCAATAGCCACCATAGCAGGGCACCAGGCAGGGTTGGCAGCCCTGGGTCTGGCTGTGGGAGGTGGTGCTGGGAAGGGCTCCCATTGCCAGGGAAAGGCTGAAACGTAAAGATGGTACCTTACGGTCGCTTGTTCAGTTGATTTTCCATTTTAAAACCCATGCTGCCGATTTGCTTTGATCCCAGATTATGAGTGAGTAAAACATGTGGACACGTTCCACTTTTCCCACAGACGCCCCCCCCCCCCCCCCCCAAAGCCCCCCACTCCCCCTGCCAGCTGCCCGACTCCCTGACGTCACCGGGACTGAACAGCTTTCGGAGAAGAACACCCCCCTTTCACTATCTGCTCTTCCCAGACTGGAGAAAATCCCCAATCCAATTAAAACAAAACACATGCATGAAACATCGGGGTTTTCTTCACCAGTGGCTCTCGAGACGGCCTTGGCGATATAAAAACCATGCTAAATAACCATTTAATTAAATGCCATGCCTTTTATTTGTGCAGAAAACTGAAGTGGATGACAGGAGAGAAATGGACCTGTGACAGCACCAGCGATTAGAAATATCACAGTAAACATGACACCTTTACACAGAACCCAAGTCGACGTGAAAGACACTACAGAAGAAAACTCAACAATCACACCTATTACTACAGCTCACTTAAACCCAGTTAACCTTGCCAAGAGTGTTCCAAGGCACTAAAGAACCAGTTCAACCCAAGCTTTATGGGAGAGATCTGACTTTCTGAACCTCAGTTGCATTTTCATAATTTTGGACGCTGGAACTTACAACCTTAACTTCCAACCAAACCGCTGCCCTGATCACTGTGTTTTTACTGCACTGTGTGTCCACTGGGACTGGGGGGGATGGGGGTGGTGGGGGCGTGAGCATCAAACGCCTTGCGTCTGAGGACGACAGAGCGGGCGGTTAAAATCAAAGCCGGCCAGTCGTAAAAGCGGGGGCCGGATCAAACACTGCGTAATTGGGGCACAAAGCTTGCGTGTGTGATGGCCGCATGAACAAACATCAACTCTGGACCCCAGGAACACGATAAGAGCACAGGCGAGTTATGAATAATGCAGCATGCAGCTGTGTGCATCTTCATCATCATCATCATCATCATGACCACCAACACCGCCATCATCTCTGGCCATTACTGAAGAGGATTCTGAATCCGGTAAGAATGATATCAGCAGTGACTGCGCCAGCATCAGCAAACTGTTCAATGTGCACAGAAATAATGAACAGAGTGAAGAGGCTGTGTGGAGATGTGGATGCATTTCACAGCAAGCTGCTTCCCGGCACATGGGGAGAGAGAGACGTGTCTGATTAGCATTTTCATTGGAATTTCATTGGAGAGTCCCAGGCTGAGCTCAACTCTGTCACGCTAACTACACGTTAAGCATGCCCATCTCCACACTCTCAGACCGAGCTCCGTCACTCTAAGTACACGTTAAGCATGCCCATCTCCACACTCTCAGACCGAGCTCCGTCACTCTAAGTACACGTTAAGCATG